TCAATTATCGAAATTCTCGACGATGTGCCTGGTAATGCACAGCTGCAACAACCATCGCCGCAACAAAAAACACGATCAGGTCGAACCGTCAGGTTCCCGGAGTACCTGAAGTCATATTCAACTTAGCGGTGTGTGTGCCAACCATACGTTTTTTTCGAGGCACTATTTTTCTTATTTACCGCAACACAAACCCTCGTACACTTTGCCTTTTTAGATCAATTTTTATTACCATGTAATAAAAACTAAAAAAACCGGCGAAGATAAGCGTAAATTTTTATTTTTCGATATGTTTATATATAAATAATTCCCATTTTTACGCAACGTTTTCGTGGTATTAAAGACTTTTATTTATATTCCAGGTGCAACGAGCACTGGACGGAACGTCGAAAGGAACAGATGACCGCGACCGACGTACAATTCGATTTATTGTATTTTATTTATTTAATTACCACGACACCCTAGAATAAGGTTCAGACAACCAGGGGCCACTTCACGCAGTGAGCCCATCGGAAGAGTTTTACCAGTGGAGAAACCACTGGGTTTTTACTTCCGGCTGGTATCGTCTTAGGGTCCTCACGAACCCACTAGGGGGGGAGTGATCTGTAGCGTCATACACTTCCCCAAAATCAATAGCCTAGGGTTTGACGACTTTCGACATTGATGCTGACCTTGATAGTTTAACTGGACTCGCTAAGCTGAAGGCACCCGGTCAAGCATCCTCGCCATTTGGCACGCTGTCGTGTTACGTTGCATTGCTCGTATTCGACTCTCTAGCCAGTTAGTTGGAACGCATCGGTATTTTGGCATAACCATCCAAATATACTATTCCATCCGACTACGCTATCGTGTTCTTCCTTGGTCTCGTATTCGTGGGTATATAACAAGTTCGAATAACTAGTGATTGGTTTTTGCGTCTGTCAAGTTCGCACCAGGACATATCCTAAACCCCTAGGACATTCTGCAGATAAAGCGGGGAATGTAAGCGATTATGTTCACACACGGACACAGATTCAGAACAGATACGGGTATACAGCAGCCAAGTTCATGGCGGATTGATTTTGCTTTCAATATCTCAAGATCCTACTTCTGTACCAGAGGAGTAGTGGAGACCAAGAACCATGGGACAGGCGAACGATGCTATGATTTATAATTTTGTTTATTTTTGCACCAGCCCTGCGAAGTTTGGCAGGATCAAGTCCATGCAGTTAAGGGGATTCAGAGCGTACGTGTGTGTGACGTTGTTCCATTCTCTCTTATCAGCCATCTTCTGGGGTGATGTCAATTATTCATCGCGTAACGCCGCATATTTCGAAAGGAAAATGATTCAAATAACAAGATTTACAGACCTTCAGTTAGTCAGTATGTTTGAGATAGGTGCCTTATTTTGCGTTCTGAAAGTTTTGTGAATTTTGGGGCCGACTGACAGACTACAGTGGCTCAGGGTTCTGAGGCTTCAGTGGGAACGATCACCGATGCACCTATGATCTCCCTTACGAAGGGTGTCTTTGGATCTATATCCATTACCAATTGATCCTGTCAAAAAGTATGTGCATCACTTTTGCGCCTAGTAATGTTAGGTGGGTTAACAGTAACTTTCGCTCCAGTGTCCGCCAAAATCTGAGCCCCGGTTCTTCTACTTAGGGAGAAAAGCAGACAGCCGCTTGGCTCAGATCCACCGTTAACGATGTCCGTCTCTGATCGCCGACCTTTTAAGTGATAATAATAATAATAATTATTATTATTAGTCCCTTGGGTTCCTAGTGGAACATAGGGCTTCAGTAGCACGCCTCCAGTGACCTCTGTTCTCTGAGATCTTTTGAACCTGGTTCCACGACAGCCCTCAACCTCTCATTTCCTCCTCGCATGACCTCCTCCATGTCACCCTCGGACGTCCAACTCGTCGCTTCCCATGGGGATTCCACTCGAGTAACTGGCCTGACGCGTGATGTCCTCAGTCGGCCTTCTCAGTGCATGGCCAATCCATCTCCACTTCTTCCTGCATATTTGTTGCGTGATAGGTTCTTGGTTGGTTCGTTCCCAGAGTTCCTTGTTGCTTATTTTTTCTGGCCATCTGATCTTCAGCAGCGAGCGTAAGCAGTTGTTGATGAATGTCTGTAGTTTATTGGAAATGCCTTTCGTGACGCGCCAAGTCTCTGAGCCATACAAGAGCACTGACTTGACGTTGGTGTTGAAAATCCGTATCTTGTTCCACATGCTGAGTGCAGAAGATCTCCACACTGGTTTCAGGCTAATGAAGGCCTGTCTTGCTTTTCCGATTCTGACTTTGACGTCCTCGTCCGTCCCGCCTGTAGTTGAAACAGTGCTTCCTAGATAAGTGAAGGAGGTTACTTCCTTCAAGTTTCTCCCGTTGACGGTGATTGGAGTTTGTTGTTGTTGTTGATGGTGGTGGTGCGGTATCTTCATCACTTCTGTCTTCTCTATATTCACCTGAAGTCCCGTCTTCGCTGCCTCTTCTGTCAACTTGTTAGTTTTTGCCTGCAGATCTTCAAGTTTATGTGACATTAGGCATAAGTCATCGGCGAAATCCAAGTCTTCTAGGTTCTTTTCCGTCGTCCAGTGTATCCCCCTCTTCTCGCTGCCTACTGTTTGCTGCATGATCCAGTCCACCACAATAAGGAATATCATGGGGGATAGTAGGCAACCTTGTTTCACTCCTGTCTTCACTTCAAAGGCATCACTGAGCTTCCCATTGTGGATTACTTGGCATGTGGCATCTTCATATAGTTGTTGGATGAGGCGGATAAAGGTTTGCGGTACTCCGTAGTATTGAAGCAGTTTCCAAATTACTTCTCGGTCGACGCTGTCAAAGGCCTTCTCAAAGTCGATGAAGTTGAGGTAGAGAGCTGATTGCCATTCTACGCTCTGTTCTATGATGATACGAAGCGTTGCAATTTGGTCAGCACATGATTTGTACTTCCTGAAGCCTGCCTGTTCCGGTCGCAGTTTTGAATCCAGTGCGTCTTTAAGCCTCTCCAGGATGATGCGGCTTAATATTTTACTTGGGGTGGATAGGAGAGTGATTCCGCGCCAGTTCTTGCAAGCACTGAGGTCTCCCTTCTTCGGCAGTTTGACAAGGTAACCCTTCTTCCAATCGTCAGGTACCTTCTCTTCCCTCCACACCTTCTGCAATAGTGGTGTGAGCATGTCCGCTGTTGTCTCTGCATCTGTTCTCAGTGCTTCTGGCGGTATTCCATCTGGTCCTGCTGCTTTCCCGCATTTCAGTAGCTTTATGGCGTTCAGGACTTCCATTTTCGTTGGGGGATTTATGTTCACTTGTAATTCAGCGGCTGCAGGTGGTATTTCTGGACGAAGTGCAGGTGGTGGTCGATTCAAGAGCTTCTTGAAGTGGTCGGCCCATCGTTTCCTCTGTTTCTCATCTTTTGTAATTAAGTTTCCTTCTTCATCTTTTATTGGTTTCATCTGTGTTGGTCTCTTGCCTGATAGCAACCTGGTTATTTGATACAATGTCGTCAGGTCTCTGTCTCTCATACCTGCAGCCTGTTCTGCTTCACTTGCCAGTGTTTCGTAGAAGTGTCTTTTGTCTTTGCGTGCACTCTTCTTCACTTCTTTATCCAGTGTTTTATACATTGTGCTCAGTTCCTCTTGTCGTTGAGCATCCTTGCACTGGTTTATCTTCTGCTTCACCATCCTCCTCTCCTCTATCAGCTTCCAGGTATCCGTCGAGATCCATTCCTTGTCTTCTTTCTTCTTCCTTCCTAATACTGTTGTGCAGGTTTCTTTCCACATAGCTTTCAAAGACTTCCAGCGTTCTTCTACACAGGTTTCTTCAGGGATGTCCCTCGACGTCTCCCATTTTGTCTTGATGGCTGCTTTGAAGATCTCCTTTGTAGTTTCATCCTTCAGTTTCCGAGTGTTGTACTTGAATTGAGGTCTATCACCAGCTTCCTTGAAGGCTTTTAACTTGATTTGGAAGGTTCCTTGCACTAGATAGTGAGTGGTCTGAACCTACATCTGCTCCTCTTCTTGACCTTGTGTTAAGTAGACTGCGTCTCCATTTTCTTGAGATTGAGATAAAGTCGATTTGATTTTTAGTGTGTCCATCTGGTGAAGTCCATGTCGCTTTGTGGATATCCTTGTGCCTGAACACACTGCCTCCAATCACCAAATCGTTGAATGCACAGAATTCTGCAAACAATTCTCCATTCTCATTCATTTCACCTAGCGCCTCTCGACCCATGGTTAGTTCTCTTCCCGTGTTGTCCCCTCCCAGTTTGGCATTCATGTCGCCCATTAGAATTTTGATATCGCCAACTGACGTCTTGTCCAGTGTTGACTGAAGTTGTCTGTAGAAATCCTCCTTTTTCTCTTGCTCTGCATTATTTGTAGGTGCATAACATTGTATGATTGTGACCTTTCTTCCTTTTGAGTTGAATCTTGCTGTCATGATCCTGGAGGAGATTGGTTCCCACTGCATGACAGTGAGCCTTCGATGCTCTTGAGGACATCATGATAGCCACTCCCTCAGTGTGCTCGTGGTTGGCGTCTGGGTGACCGGAGTAGATTATTGATTCTCCAGTTAACAGTTTGGAGAGTCCACTCCCATTCCATCTGCTTTCGCAAATCCCAAGCACTTCGATGTTATACCTTCTCATCTCCTTTGCAATCTGGGCTGCCTTACTAGGTTCAAACATGGTGCGGACATTCCATGTCCCCATGTTCACCTTCGCTTTCATCGAGAGAAGACACATCGGCCAATTGGCTTCCCGAAGGCTTTCACCAACTGGCGTCATTTCGCCTCTTCGATTCCAGCGGGGAATAAGTTTGTTTTCATTTTTTATATTTTGTTTGTGCTTTGAAGTTTCTTTAGCGGTTAGATTTGTTTTACGGGGTAGGGTTGCTAGCCCTATGCCCAACCTTCCCTCTTTACCCGGGCTTAGGACCGGCTAGTAACTAGTAAACTAGTTAACCAGGCGAGGTTAAGTGATAATAATATTCCGTTCTAAAGACACACGCCATTTATGCAAATGCAGATTACACGTTTCTTCATGTAGGTAACATTGACCCCCTAAGTGATGATTCACTGTAAGGTATTAAAGCGTTTCGTGTTGATAAATCAGGGGTTCCAGCTACTTAAGTATGCAACGGACTACGCGATGAACATGGGATCTTCGAGAAGCCGTGGCAAACAGCACTGCTTGTGGAAGTGGGAATTTTCGATGGTATGTTGTCGAATTCTCCCTCCATCCTATGCGTAGAAGGGGCCTAGACGGTCTAGTTCTTGAGGAGCTGCGCCATTCTTCAAGGGTACTCAAAGTTGTCACCTGTTTGCACAGGACCTCTGTTCATGCAGCGGTTTTTGTCAGTTTCGGGAGCACATACTACTCCTGATACTATAGAAGGCAATCACTCCGTAAATTTCATCCGTAACAGCACCCAGCTTCTCTGTGTTGACATCAACATCCTCAAAAATTAGTATCTACTGTATATTGTTCAGCAACCATCTGAGTCACAAATGGCAAGATAATCTAGTGTCTGTTTGGAGCCACTTAGCAATCTACCTGTAAGTTGCTTCAGTCGTGGTGGTAATCGGTTGCTTAGCTGGGTGTACTTGGGGTAGTGATCTATGTATTTCAGATCCAATACAAAGTTTTCCTTCGCAACTTTCCTTCCGAGGATGTCACACTGTCGGCCTGTGTCTGGGTCTGAACTGATTAGAGCCTGGTTATAATGAACCGATGTAGCACTACGGGGATGGGTTTTACTGAAAAGAAAATTATGTTCGACGCGGACCAGCACAATAAAGGTTCAGTTAGTCAAAACGAAGGGATGAAAAGAATAACGGTACCCACTGATTCAAACCTAGAGAAAACAGGTGAAGGCCTGTGGTACTCAGTAAACTTGGTTGTGATTTCTATCTGTTGTAAACTTTATATTCACCATTGACTGCAAGTGAATGACGAATAACATTTAATGTGCTCAAAAAGTCTTGCCCTGCTGGAATTGCCTACTAGAGTGCCTGGGAATACACACGTCATACTTCTACCACTGCCTTCTTATTCGCTACGCTGTGGTCGTCTGAAACAAATCGTTTAGAGCGTTAGCCATAAGCCCCCGGGTCCAACAGGTTCATGGTTGAAATTCTACCTTAGTGTCAGAAACGAGGAAGTTAACAGCAGATATTAATTCGCTGCAGTTAGACCGAATCAGCCAATCAGCTTTGCGGTATACACGAGCAGATCAAACAGACCAAGACAGATTTCATCACTGTTGTCTAGCGAAGGGGTCAACAAAATAGAACGAGGCGACCTTCAGCATCTTAGTCAAACAAAAAGACGAACGAAGCACAGTGAAGCGACCTCAACACACTGCAGGCAAGCAAAAGAAATCAACCGGTTGTATAATTCCACACCTCTCTGGAAAAAATAAAAGCAAGGAGTCAACTAATCAGATTCAGTATTCGATGGCTTACTCAGCGCGCGACCAGTTGGACCACAATCGGACAAAAGTGGCAAGTTACGGGTATCCCTGTGAAACCAACTGCTTCGCATTCTCTCTGATTAACTGACTATAATAATTAACACGACACTGAAACACTTCCAACAAAAACCCTAGCCCTGAGAACAGTTCGCTGTGAACATCCACTCTCAGAACCGCAAATATTCGCTGCAACTTGCGCGTTTCAGTCGGTACATCTTTTTGCATATTCATGCCATTGGCACACTTCACTTGCCAGCATGCTACACTTTCACGACTTATGGTGACCCATTGTGTGAGAATTTGATATTACCTGCACGAAGAAACATTCAGCCGATTTAAAAATTATTTCACAGCTCTATAAGCTGCGGGCCTGCTTATCAGGATTATTACTAAATATGTTTGTCGGCTCGAACACATGCATACAACACCAGACTTCTCCGAAAGCTCCCTGCCATAATGTGCGATTCTGCTGAACGAAACGATAGTGAATTAGTGCACGGGCAACAAAAACCAAACTGCTTAAAGTTCACTGATTTCAGTGTTGGAATTGTGACTACATCTGTTGAAATCATAAAGTCACAGGATGCGGCAGGCAAATAGAAGGTACTTTAGATAGCCATGCTGATCAACGATATTCGGAGGTTCTGTTTCAAAAATCAAGTGTATAGGTGTCCCCCTGGGAACTTGGTAGTACACTTTCATGGCTTGATATTGAATATTTCCGAAAAGTGGAGGACATCAGCTGGGTGCTGCACCATGCGTCAGCCTCGGCTAACGGCTTTACTATGCTGGAGTTCATCATAGTGTGCAGAGCTAACGATAGTATCTGCTGGTATGTACCAATACAGCACCGGTGTTACCTCGAGACTTCAGCCTAGCCAGTCGGTTAAACATACGAAGACTTAGGATCAAGGCTGAATCCCGTCAAATCCTACGTCACTGGTTTTGAAGGAATATTTGCCGCTACAGCTCACTAGTTCTCCCGATCGTTCGCAAAAACTCCTAGATGCCGCTAACCAGGGGTACAAACCCAGTCGTTTGGCGGCTAGTCAAACTCTCATTGGGCCCCCTGGGAAGAATGGCCTCTGGTTGTTTGCAGTTAATCTTGGGTGTCGCATAAAAAATGGAGCAATCGATCGGCTAGTGGTTTGACCATGCTTTCCGAAGTGTTTTGAAGTTCTGTCCAGTTCTAATTGCGCCTGGAGTGGGAAAAAATATTTTTGGTGCCACGGAAAATTGTTTCCCGAAGACGGAAATCAGAAGGTATGTATACGTCAAGTATGGAAACAAACGTGGGTGGAAAGAAAAGGTCGACCCTTGAAACAACGGAATCCCCTCTACCCTGTTATGTGTCGGTGCCGGCGACCGGGGTTCGAAGTTGGATTCATAAGCAATAAACTAAAGCCTCAAACTTCTAAGAAGGCCGTGTGCGACGTGACCCGTGCAGATATCCCTTGGGCTCTCTGACCACTCACTAACACCTCTTTTTCAAGTACTTCAAGAATAAATAGCCTTCCACTGTGTGTGTGGACAGCCCTGAAGTGTTAACCGTCCCCACGCTTCTAATAGTGTTCAATACCCAGTCAAACAAAACCTATTCTCCCTAACTTTTTTTGCTACTTTGCCTTCATAGCAATATCAAGTCTCTTAAAATTTCCCTAACCTTTCACTGCTACGACTGCCAACCATCCAAGCTATCGAATCACTACTCACAGTCTCCTAAGACTTCGCCATCGGTTTCACGCTGGGGCTTTCAGCGTCCGAACCCTCCGCTGTCGAATCGGCCAGCAAGCGTCACCCACCAGAACTCTGAAATCTCCAGCCATGGATGCATACTGTGTCTCTGAAACATTAAATTCACCTCACCTGGCCACTGCGGTGAATCCTCCGGATTTACCCTACGGGTATTTGGAGACCCAATGGCTTACTTTCATGGACTCTCTGGCGTAGGCATGTCATCGGGCCGTAGGGCAGAAAGTCGGTTCTCGATTGGATACCAGTCAAAAGCCACTTGTGTGCTGTTCAAATAAATGTTTCTGTAGGAACTAGAAGAGATCGTAAGACCAAGTAATGCCTGTTCGTAGTCTCTGCTTATGCGCCCACCGACTGCAGTTTGGATGATGGAAGGATCGATCACATTGTTATGAGCCATCGTTAACGAGGAACGGTAGACTGCCGCTTATCCTGGGGTACTTCTCTGAACTTCAATCACGAGTTAGTGCGAACTCGTGTGTGTCTGCTCCTTACTGGTTGCAGTGGACAGGCGGTAGTAAAGCCTGTGTATGGTCAATTGGAAAGTGAGGACGCCAAGAACGTATTTAGGGAGGAGCTAGCTAAGCATTTATGTGAGCGTGACAGCAGTGCTCATCCTGGAGAAACCTGGCGTGACATTAAGTCTGCTGTATAAGCAGCGGTAAGTATAGTTGGTAACCTACACCCGAATGTTAACAAACACCACTGGGCTTCCGCGATGTCATCGGAACTGATCGATGCGCGAAGACTGATTCCAGCTGGCTTTGATCACGACAAAGGGCGAAAGCAACTTAGACGTAAACCGAGCAAGAGTCTTCACAACGACTGCGACCAGTATTGAGTGGCGAGAGCGAGAGAGAATGGAGAAAGCATCGGCATTAGATAATATCTGGCAATTATCTAGTCTTATTAAGGATATTAACAAGAAGAAGACGATGCTTAATGAGGCCATCACCGAAAAAATGAGATGCTGATAACCTGTCGGGACAAGATGGCTTGAAGGTTGGGAAGAAGACTTTGAAGCACAGTTCGACTGGCTCACAGCAACGTTCCAGTTGTCCAGCATCCAACCTGAACCTGGATATCATCATAATCAACATAGGACCAGGCATTACTGCGTGACGGTTCGAGTTGCCACACCTCATCAATACATCAAGTAAAAAGGCAGTGAAGTGCAAGATGAAGGTAAGAAAATTCAGTCAAAAGAAACATAGAGTACGGGAAGAGGAAAAGGAAGAATGAGAGAGTGGTGAGATTAGGTATAGCGTCGTTAAGATGAGGATAGTGTGTGTATACATCTGCGCCACTGACATCGGTTCTGAGCCATATCACCTAGAGTCTCCAACCACTGGTTCCCCTTGTCCCGTCGACCGAAACCGGCTAGTCTAAATCGCCCCACATGGCTCAAACCAACAGTCACAGACTTCATGTTTTCGTCTGGCCACCTCGGGCCTTCTGCAGCCCGAACCTACTTCGATCAACACTGTGATGACGAGGCAATCAGCGACTAGGCATACATAACATGTGTCCCAACCATCTTAGCCGATCAAGGTTCACAACCTCGTCAACCGACTTACCTCTCCTCCCTAAAACTATACTCCTGACTTGTGCGTTACCGACGTGGTGACACCACAGAATGCGGCCTATACTTCGAACGCAACGGTGGTCAAACACCTGAAACCTTCTCATGTCTTCCACCTTCAATGGCCACGTTTCACAGCCACACAGTAGAATAGACCGGGCTGCTGTGCAGTATATGCGACGCTTAGTAGACAATTGGATATCACAGCGGCGCCATAGGTGGCGTAAGATGGCGAAAGCCAATCGAGCCTTTTGTATTCGTGCCGAGATTTAGCCGGCCACTGAGCCACCAGGGCAGGGCTGATCCTACTTCTCAGGTAAGTGAAGTGGTCGACACACTCAATCACTACACTCTGTTGTTAACCGCGGTGGGGCACCGCTGAAGACTAGTCCTGGAGCAAGAATTTGAATTTGGGTGGTGAGGAACTCGTCCCAAACATTCTCGAATTGCCACTCAAAGTGTTCAGAAGACTCTGCATCTTGTCAGCGTCTTCACCTAACATGACTATGTCATCCGCATATTCTAGGTCGATCGAAAGTTCTCCTGCGGTTAGGTCAACGTCTGTGTAATCAGGTGACGAGAGGGAAACCTCCATGAGAATATCTATGATAAAATTGAATAAGGATGGAGAGAGTGGGCACCCTTGACGGACACCACTCGATGAGCATAGCTCACTGGACATCTCACCGTAGGCTCTAACACGCCCACAAGTGTTCGAGTAGGGGGCCTTCAACAAAGCGATGTACTTACTCGGCGCGTCTTTTAGTGAGAGACATTGCCATAAGTCTTGTCGATCAACAGAGTCGAATGCCATTTTCAGGTCGAGAAATACAGCCAGTGTTGGTTGCCGGCAAGCGTGTCTGTGTTCCAAAACCTGGCACAGTGTGAATACTTGGTCGACACATCCGCGGCCGGATCTAAAGCGTGCCTGGTTTTCTCAGGCGTCGAAGAATTATGGGACCTAGAATCTTAGACACTATGTTCGTCGGGCTGATTCCTCTGTGGTCATCACAAGAGGACTTCTCGCCTTTGTCGAAGACTGGAATAATCAGTGATTTAGACCAGCTAGAGGGGATCATATTTGGTTCCCATATACTGGTTAACACTTCCATTAACCTGACTAAGAGCACTCCACCACCATCCTTGTATCCCTCTGGAGTTAGTTCGTCTGGTCCTGCTGCCCTTCCTCGTTTTGGGTTATCTACCGCTTTTTCGACTTCTGCTAGTCTATCTCAATGTTCGGTTCAGGACCCGACTGGGTAGCGGGCAACTCAATGGTGGCTGGAGGCCAGTTAAGCTGTTTCTCGGAGTGTTCTGCCCGTCGTTCCAGTCGTCTCCTCTGCGAGTGAATCGCAGACCCGTCCTTCTCCGCTATAGCCTCACTAACTGTTGTTGATCTTTTCCTCCCAGTTTCTTTAATAAGTCTAAATAACTGTCTACTGGTATCAATCGCCGCTGCCTTTTCCATCTCTTTAACCTTCACTGCCCACCACTGTTCGCAGTCGTTGCGTAGACTTTTTCACAATCTACTCTTTAGTTGGACTCGCTCTTCATTGTACTCAGAGCCTGCAGAGATGCGTTGACGTGCATTCACTGGTTTGGAAGAAGCTGCTGATATCCACTTGCTCTTTTTAGCCGCTGTTTCGGAATCGGCTACTGTCTTCAGCGCTGTTTTTACAGCAGACTTAGGATGGTACCAAGCTTCTTCTAGATGAGTGATAGTCTTCTGTTCCGATAACTGCCTAACCGACTTCTCACTGAACACGGCTTTAGTGTTTTCTTTGTCCAGCAGCACTCGTAGTGGTTTAGTTGCCAAATGTTTCCTACGTCCATTGAGACGCCAACATATAGGCGCTCGGACAAACGCGTGGTCGATATCCAAACACGTACTCCAGAAGGAGCGGCAGTCTTCCACCGATCCTCTCCAGTGATGACTAATAGCTATGTGGTCTATCTGTGTCCATCTCTGGGTTGAGGTTGGTGGACGCCACGTCAGATAGTGTCTTTTCTTATGTCTGAAATTTGTGCTAGCTAAAAATAGGTGATTATCTGAGCACAGTTGTAGTAGGCGATCACCGTTATCTGTTCATTCAGCCGGGACTCTGAAAGTACCACCTAAGTGCCCTTATGCCTCATTCAGTCTACCCACCTGTGCGTTGAAATCACCTGCAACAACCACCACGTCCGAATGTTTGGCTTTCGAGAGGAGGCTAGAGAGTTTAGGGTAGAACTCGTCCTTCACTTCATCTTAACTGTAGTCAGTGGATGTGTGAGCAGAGATTACAAAGAGACAATGGCGAGTCTCCCTATTCCTTTTAGTTCTCACTGTGCCACTCAGTCGGATAGCACAGAGTAGACTATCAACTGGTATCCAGTCTAGTAGTGAGTTTTCTGCCGTAGTGCTTAGTGCTATGCCTACACCTGCTAGACCAAGAGAGCTAACTATCGAATCTGCAGAAACTTGAAGGGTGGATTTTGGGGACTCACCAGATTGGTCGGGTGGTTAGGTGAATAACCGCATTTGGGTCCTGTATGCGTGTCTCACAAACAGCATACATGGATGCCCCGAGTTGCTAGTCTTGGCCAACGAAGCCTGTTGATCAAGTTGACAGAGGGTGCGGACATTGAAGGCTCCAATATGTAGTTTGGAGTATGGTTCAAGGAGATCAAGGATGCTGTTCTGTGAACTCAGATCGTTGTCGAAGGCTGCAGAGCTAGGAGAAGTTGAAGATGATGTAGTACCGTTAGTTGAGAGACGTGAAGGAAGATTAGGAGGTAATAAGGGGGGAGGTGGATAACAATCTGAGGAAACTTGTGTGCCGGTAGACATGTGCACTAAACTTCAGTCTTTAAGTGTGCACGCAACGTTACTAAATTGGCTTACAGATTCGCTTTACATCTCGTTGGAATCAGTTGGAGTTGACTGCTCTTAATCTGATTGGTTCCCGATGCCCAGTGGTATGCCTTGAGGTTCATTAACGTTTCTACTGCTTTTATGAATGATTTATCAGGATCCCTCACTTCCCACCCACTGGCACATACTATTGATCTGAAGATTTGGAGTGAAATACAGGAGCCAGTGGATATTCCAGTTCTCCAGGGGGACCTTTCCGAAATACCACATTCGGCTTGCGAAAACCTGCTCCCTGTCAACCAGTGGATGCTTAGAATAATGGTTGTCGACAAATATAAAAAGGCGCCAGTTCTTATTCTCTGGGTGAAATAAATGCCTGTCACTCAGACACGGGAAACGACCTGGGATCTGCTTTAAGTGACACACTTGGAGCTTCACTCCATTTGAGCTTTCAAACCAATAAGGTCCCTAGATTTTATTTTGAAAACCTTAGGGGGTTTAACTTTGGTATTTTCCATCCAAGTAATATAAATTTTATATTAGTCCTCATCCTGAGAAACTCGCTCGCACTATCCTAATACTTTAAGAAGGATGTTACACTCCTGGAACAGGTTCACACAGGAGCTACGAAAAAGTGATTGGGTTACCGTAACAACCTTACCTGGGTCTTTTAGTTGCTCTTAAACTGTAACCGGCACAATACCGAAGGATCAGAGGGGATATGATCGTGAAGAACAAAAACGCATATAATCCCCTTCATACTAATACGCTCATTTCAAGCTCTAATCAGAAACGACGTCTCAGAGGAAACGCGTTAGGTGTAGGTCATGTAGAAGCACGCACACAGATCCTTGCCAATTCGTTTGCAGATGGAGTATGTCACATGTAGACCTCTCTTCTTGTAGTTGTTGCGGCCCTTCTCCGAAAGTTTCAAAATAAGTTGAACGCACATTCGGAGTATCGTGATACATATAGAGTGCACTACAGAAGATTTTAGTCTTCTATAAATCGGGAGAAGAAACACTTTTTATTGAGTGCAGACTAATTAATAATCGATTATCTCTGTCCTTTCAGATTTTTCGGAACCATTCTAAACCCAGAACCTATTCCATTAGGAAAGACATAGAACTCAAGGGAACATCGTTCACTTGTTTCACAACACGAAATTTGAAGTCAGAAGGTCGTAAGAAGATATTGGATATTGGATGGACTGTGATGTTTGTTTGTATGTACCAATATTGGACAAGAGTTCATTATAGAAGATGCACAAATCTTGTGGAAGTCAGCCTTGCTGGAATACGCAAGAGCGGTTTAAGATTAAAAGCTGCTGTGGGGAAGAAAGTTCTCTGTTTTACAAAGTCTGCATTGTGTTGACACGCCGTTAGGTAACTGTTCTCTTAACCTGAATTCACCCGGAGAGTGCACCTGCTGATACTGTTGTTATTTAATAATTCCCACCGTAACATTAAGAACAAGATATTCAGCGAAGAGACTCTTTTCAACGAATTTATTTTCAAGCTGTACAATCGTATATATATGGTATTTGGAAAAAATTATATCCTGTGAGGAAAACTAAACACTATATGGTGATGACAATAATAATAGAGAGGGTGATGACATAGGCATTTATGATTATAATAACAATTGAAGTGCGAATGATAACAAATAGATTATGTAATATATGGAATGGTACATAGAGAGTATATAACTCAGAAGGGGGTGAAAAAATTGTTGAAAATGGTAAATCAATTAAGTATTATGTAATGGCATTAGACAAATTGGACAAGATGAAGTCAATGTTTTCTAAAAGGATTAAGACAATTAAGTGAAACAACACCGGAAACTAGTTGAAGTGAAGGCGATTATAATAACAATAATAGTGATAAAGGAAGGATACAAAGGTTAAATTAACAAAGTGGGAGGGGGAGCTAATGGGGTGGGGAAATGTTATGGCCATGATAAAGACAGTGACTGCACATACTTCTTTTGTACACACAGATCAGGTCTTAGTTCATGAATAGCTAAAGCCTCCGCTGTTTTAAGGAGTTGAAAACGAAGAGAACGTGGGAGGTTTGGGCGAATTTGATAAATAATTTCAAAGTCATCGTCTGGATTTGTTGTGTGATGGAAGTCAATCAAATGTTCTAGAATCGAACTTCTAACAGACTTTCTTTCACCTTTATAAAACCAAGCAGGAACATGTTCTCGTATACGTGTAGAAAGCATTCTCTGGCTACGGCCGATGTACCTTGCTCCACAAGAGCAGGTGAACTGGTAGATGCACATAGAGGCGGCCAAACGAGGAAGCTTGTCTTTGACGCAGGTGGAGAATAGGTTGCGGCTGGTAAAAGTCAACTGAAGTCTTGCTGCGAAGAAAGTCCTATTGATTGATCTGGTAAGACGATTCTTCAGTACATCCGATGCTAGGTCTCCTTTAAACTCTAGGCTCATAAACAATCTTTTCTTTGAGACCGAGTGGATGACTGGTTTAGTGTTTCTTTCCCGCATATTTTTATCAATAAAACGGCTAGGGTAACCGTTTTCGACAAGTATGCTTTTTAAAAAAATAGCTCTTCGTCGATACAATCGTCACTACAGATACTTCTTATTCGATAGCAAAGAGAGTGAATAAGATTTCTTTTTCTGTTGATGGGCACCCAACTATAAAAATTAGTTAGTTGTCCGTTCCACGTTGGTTTTCTGTAGATGGATCTTTTAAGGTATCCATTCTGACGTCGGGTGAGAAGCACATCAAGAAAAGGAATAGTTGATTCTGATTCCTTCTCTATAGTAAACTTGAGGGCTTGATGACATTCATTGAATGAACGAAGCACATCGTCGAGGTCTACATTTTTGTCGCAAATAACAAACGTGTCGTCCATATATCTTCTATAAAAGTCAAAGCTATCAATAGTTTGACGAAGTTGTGAATTTTCTAGTTTCGACATGAAGAAATCTGCTAGCAGTGGTCCCAATGGTGACCCCATCGCAATTCCATCTTTCTGTCTATAGATTTCATTATTGAAACTGAATTGGACATTAAATGTGCACCTCAACAAAAGCTCTTTCAAGCAGCTCGTTGGTAGTCCTACGTCTAAATTATGTGCATCAATATAGTCACATACATAACAGACAGTTTCGGTGAGTGGCACACTCGTGAACAATGAAGTGACGTCTAATGAAAACATCATCTTGTTTAGAGCATTGAAATCCTTAATACCCTCAACAAACTGAAATGTATCACGGATAGAAAAACTCGATACTTGCCTTCTTGCCTATCACCGAGCTGCTCAGTGGTTAGCTGAAATTCTGGAACCTGTTAGAAGGCAAGTATCGAGTTTTTCTATCCGTGATACATTTCAGTTTGTTGAGGGTATTAAGGATTTTAATGCTCTAAACAAGATGATGTTTTCATTAGACGTCACTTCATTGTTCACGAGTGTGCCACTCACCGAAACTGTCTGTTATGTATGTGACTATATTGATGCACATAATTTAGACGTAGGACTACCAACGAGCTGCTTGAAAGAGCTTTTGTTGAGGTGCACATTTAATGTCCAATTCAGTTTCAATAATGAAATCTATAGACAGAAAGATGGAATTGCGATGGGGTCACCATTGGGACCACTGCTAGCAGATTTCTTCATGTCGAAACTAGAAAATTCACAACTTCGTCAAACTATTGATAGCTTTGACTTTTATAGAAGATATATGGACGACACGTTTGTTATTTGCGACAAAAATGTAGACCTCGACGATGTGCTTCGTTCATTCAATGAATGTCATCAAGCCCTCAAGTTTACTATAGAGAAGGAATCAGAATCAACTATTCCTTTTCTTGATGTGCTTCTCACCCGACGTCAGAATGGATACCTTAAAAGATCCATCTACAGAAAACCAACGTGGAACGGACAACTAACTAATTTTTATAGTTGGGTGCCCATCAACAGAAAAAGAAATCTTATTCACTCTCTTTGCTATCGAATAAGAAGTATCTGTAGTGACGATTGTATCGACGAAGAGCTATTTTTTTAAAAAGCATACTTGTCGAAAACGGTTACCCTAGCCGTTTTATTGATAAAAATATGCGGGAAAGAAACACTAAACCAGTCATCCACTCGGTCTCAAAGAAAAGATTGTTTATGAGCCTAGAGTTTAAAGGAGACCTAGCATCGGATGTACTGAAGAATCGTCTTACCAGATCAATCAATAGGACTTTCTTCGCAGCAAGACTCAGTTGACTTTTACCAGCCGCAACCTATTCTCCACCTGCGTCAAAGACAAGCTTCCTCGTTTGGCCGCCTCTATGTGCATCTACCAGTTCACCTGCTCTTGTGGAGCAAGGTACATCGGCCGTAGCCAGAGAATGCTTTCTACACGTATACGAGAACATGTTCCTGCTTGGTTTTATAAAGGTGAAAGAAAGTCTGTTAGAAGTTCGATTCTAGAACATTTGATTGACTTCCATCACACAACAAATCCAGACGATGACTTTGAAATTATTTATCAAATTCGCCCAAACCTCCCACGTTCTCTTCGTTTTCAACTCCTTAAAACAGCGGAGGCTTTAGCTATTCATGAACTAAGACCTGATCTGTGTGTACAAAAGAAGTATGTGCAGTCACTGTCTTTATCATGGCCATAACATTTTCCCACCCCATTAGCTCCCCCTCCCACTTTGTTAATTTAACCTTTGTATCCTTCCTTTATCACTATTATTGTTATTATAATCGCCTTCACTTCAACTAGTTTCCGGTGTTGTTTCACTTAATTGTCTTAATCCTTTTAGAAAACATTGACTTCATCTTGTCCAATTTGTCTAATGCCATTACATAATACTTAATTGATTTACCATTTTCAACAATTTTTTCACCCCCTTCTGAGTTATATACTCTCTATGTACCATTCCATATATTACATAATCTATTTGTTATCATTCGCACTTCAATTGTTATTATAATCATAAATGCCTATGTCATCACCCTCTCTATTACTATTGTCATCACCATATAGTGTTTAGTTTTCCTCACAGGATATAATTTTTTCCAAATACCATATATATACGATTGTACAGCTTGAAAATAAATTCGTTGAAAAGAGTCTCTTCGCTGAATATCTTGTTCTTACTGTTGTTATTGTTATACGAGATCACACCTCAGTCAACATTTTCTGGGGGAAAAACGAGGGCCCGTGGGAAAGACTGCATTGAAAATTCGGAGCTATAAAAAACTGCTCTGAGTTCAGCGCTGTTTCCTATGGGTTCGGGTTTCGCCTGACGACATTTCAGACTTTACCCGCGTTTCTTTCAACATGTATAGTGTTCAAAAAATAGCCCTGAGTTTCTCCACGAAAATGTTGAATGGGTACATGGATCAGTATAAGGTAGTGTGTAACCGCTGCGCAGATAGAATGAAAGGGGAAATTATTACGAAAACTAGCTATTAGATGCGAGTGATGAATAGGCGTCATGTAATCTCTTGGATCATACGAACAATTTCCTCCTGAGCATGGAAAGTCCAGAATGTTTAATCACGAATAAATGCAGCAATAAGGCTGTTGATATGGCCTCATATATGCAATATTGCCATTATATGCCGCTAGGTCATGTAAGGAATAACGAGACCACAGGAACTAATTTTGAATCGGCTTGCCATGCTATGGCAAATTAACAAAAATGGAAAAGTAGTGTGACGATCCGTTATAATGGACAATTCAACTAAAAAGTTTAAGAAAGTATCAACTCACTAAGTGGGTGGGATATATTTAATATTTCAGAAGGTCCAATAAATATTACAAACATTCAAGTAAGCAGATAATCATATCAACTCCAGTAATTCGACGTATTGTCCATACATGAAATTAAACCATAGTAATGGCATTTAAAGGAGTTCTGTGGCAGGGATTTTTCACTGAGAAAATGTTATTATTAGACTGGAGGTGAGCAGTTTTTCCACCATTTAAAACTGGTCTCATCTTTCGCTAGGGTCATAGAGAGAGAAAAAAAGTGGTGAATAAGTCTCTGAACGCATCTATAACATAATACAGTATCGTGTGGCTCAACTTGGATATACAAGAAATAGGTTTCTGGCATGGGTCAGTTAAACTAAGTTCATTAGAAATTGGGCTTTCAGACTTCTCCATAGTCTTCTGCTAGACAAAATTTAGCCTAGTACTCCCGATGTTTTTGCTGTCTTCATAATGTGACCTCTAGTTCAACTACTGGACTGCCGCATATATAATTTTTGACTTTAAGGGTCGAGGGCTTTTATCTCACTGGTTTACAATGTCATTTTGTGATTCGTTCGCTGCTAGGTGTTGTTGGTTTTTAAGGAAAACATGGATGGATGTCAGTTTCTCCTGAGAAAATCTAGGCGTAGTTTACTGATGGGTTTTAAAAAATCTATTCCCACTTTACTGTAGTAAGTTTAAAATGACCTTGGTGAATGACAGGACTAAATATAACTTACTTTATGGCAGCGACTACAGGGTCCGTTTTTGAGGCTAAGAGAAACTTAAGAGTATTTATCACTGCAACATTTGGTGTCTGTAGGTTACCAATCGTCCGCATATAAGACGTGATGTATTCGGGATTCTATCATGGCTCAACACCAAAACTGTTTACATATTGTATATCCGGCCACATCTAGAAACAAATTGAGTCGTTATTTCACCTTACCTCAAGAAGAATATTATTCTTTTAGAACAAGTTCAGACTATTTGTCTTAGGACCCTGTTAAGGGGTGAACGGGAACAAAACTTCATAACCAAGATTCAATTCTAGTAGCGCATACAGAATCCAAGGAATTTCCAGGTAACTGATTCTGCAACATAAATATGATAAAGTCAACACGCCAGATAACCTTAAACTTCAGCTGAAAAAATATGTTCCTTAACAGTTCCAATCGATTAGGTAAACAAAGGAATTAAATTGAAACCACGTAATTATCATGACTTGTTGATTTCTGCTGATACAGCCATAAACATGTAATAGTGGCGTATCAGGCTAGCCTTGGTGAAGCAAAGGTCTGTCAATATTTTCACTTGACCCTGCAGGTTATAACATGGAGCTAACAATAAGTCACATGGTTGGAAAGGTGGCATGTAATTGTCTAAACACTCACTCAAGGTGATGTCGGCACAAGATCTCATATGACATACACCTACAGTTCCACTCAGGTCCATCCTGATCCACTGTGTTGGCCTGGTGACATTGGATCTTTTTTGACGGACAGTAAAAAATAGCTGCCTAGCGAAGCCTAAGTTTTACGAAACACCATGGGGGAAAAATCTAAGTAACTTAGTAGGTATTGGAGATGTGATTGGGACAGTGGAGAACATAACGTATTGGAGATTCTTGACTGACTGACAAAATTAACGTAGAACCTCAGACAGGAGTGCATCGGCTCAAGTTGCCACACTTCAATAGTACACAAAGAACAGGTAGATAGAAAAGAAGTGATACAGGAGTAGTTAAATTAGTGGGAGAATAAACAATCTGAAGATAAAGCTCAGGTGAATATTCAAGCCTTAGATGTCAAAGAGTGAACACATCTGCAACATTTTGACAGATCTTCAGCCATGTTACTAAGGCTCCTAAACCACTGATTCTTTTCTCCTTGGGGACCCCAACGAGGCAGTCTACATCTCCCCATACAGCTCAAGCTAACAGTCAGAGACCTCGTCGACTGGTACCATGCCTTGGTCTGGCCTCCTTAAACCCTTTCCCAACCCAATCCAGCTTTCCCTAACATCGCAGATCGAGGTAGGCAGTGACTAGGCACAGGCAGTATATATCCAAGATATCTCAGCCGATGAAGGTTCACGACCTCATCAACCGATTAGATTATCTTGCTTGGTGCCCCTCACAGTAGTACAATAAACCTTCATACAGTGTATGGTTCGTAGCCTACATAAACTCGGAGTCCCACATAAGCGTGATTTTCACAACATTCTTACAGAAAGTTCATCTGAAACAACCGAAAATTCTTTTAATTTCTAGTGAAGCATTAACTATTTTGAACTTTCGGGGTTATTTATGGACCACCACTATGTAGAGCACGTTTTTCAGGTTGAATGCAAAGAAAGGTGATCAGATTAAGATTTGGTTCCAGCTCATAGAGTCTCTGGTCGGTCTAAACCCTACAGAGAAGTATGGGCTCTGTGATCTGGTCTTCTGAAAAAAAAAATTGACGGTTAAAGACAGCATACTACCTGACAAAATGGCATCCATGTCTTTTCTTGTACTAATTTTTCTCCCAAGCATCTGTTCTTGTTTACTACTGATGACAGAGTTGTGGATTTCATTGTTTCAGTTAAATTTTACTTTTGTCGTTGATGTGAAATGTGGTGAGTTGTACAAATACTTAATTATATCAGGTTCTGATTTGTTTTTTGTCTCGTTAGAAGCTACCCATGAAATATTTGTATCAGTACTTTTAAACGAGATATATGTTGCACTTGAATATACAGGTTGTCAAAGACTTCCAAAGTACTTAACCGCTCATTATCGTTTTCCTTTACTCAGTGTTAACTGTCAGGTCCTTTGTACTTGAGGCAATAATTCTTGTATATGGGCACTGCTGACTTCACTTCTCATTTGGTTACTCGTTACTGTGCGTTTGGCCATCACATGTCTTTTACTGATCGAGTGTTTGTGGATGTGTTGACTTGGTATTAATATCTAAATGTATAATGGTCTCGTTCGGCATCAGTCAGCTGGTTTCCAGTGGTTTTTAGCCTTATTTTACAAACCATTCACCAAAAATTCAGCTCAGATTCAGTCGCATTATTGGCTAGATATAAAAATTGGTAAATTCCCATCCTTATAGATACATTTTCACAAGCGCAGTTTTCTGAGTGTTTCTTATTACCATTGTGAATTTCAATTCCAGTCACGGTTAACTACAAATTTGTGTTTCTCAACAGTCATTTGGTATACGATATATGAGGTTATTGAGCATATTTGTTAACTGTCGAGCTTAGAGGTTCCCTGCATTCAAAAGTGCGTAGGTGATTTATATGACAAAGATAAAGGAATGTCAGGAATAGGAACTTCTATGTATGTAACTTTGTGCAAGGTACTGGCTAAATGAAACCAAGCACTGGGTGCACTGATTTCACCATCGTCTAGATACTTGGATATCATACAAACCATACATCGTAAGGTATATTCTTAAGGAATAAATTTCGAAATTCTTGATTTGAGTTGGTTTTTTCATCGAATTTGACTTTGCAGACAGTACGAGACTAGTTGAACTTTGTAATAAACTGCTTGTAGTGATGCAACTACTTTCAAAGTCCATGCTTTCATGGGACGTTCTTAATATGCATACTTAAAATGACACGGGTTTTTAGATCAAGAGCGTATGCAGCCTAACGGAAACTTTCAGTTGGAAAGTGGTTATTATTTAGATATCAAGTTTTCATGTATCTTTTCTTGTTTGTGTATGATTATTCTGCGAATGTTTCAATTTCTTTGCAGTGATGTCTCTGAGTTGTCTTGATGATAGTCGTTGGCTGTCTGTTATACTTCCTGATGCAACTGACGCGCAACCTACTCCGATTTCGCTTATATTAGATCCTTTAGCCAATGAACACTATCAATTGTTATTAGGAGAACTTTCGAACATCAAAATGGTTAGTGGTCATGGTAAGAAATGATTTTTAAACTTCATTATCGGTGGTCAAATTTTATCCACCAGTAAAATTTTACCAGTTAAAAACAACTGTTAAAAAGCTTCATATCCATTTCAATGTGAAAACAATGTTATGCAGATTCCGCATATAATTTGGATTGCTATCAGCTAGTCTCATGACACTAGTTCATGAAATCTGTCAATGTTGATACCGAAGACTGAAAAACTCGAGTTTCCTGATTAATAAGTAGGATAGGAACTTATGTTGTTGCTACTCATTAACCCCTTGTAGGTTCATTTACTAGACTGCCATATCTAATTTATTATCGTGTATGATACTACCGGATTAACCCAGCTGAATTATTCGAATCTGACTTGAAGACTAAAATCATTGCTTGAAACTGAATTGCTCTTGTCAGCGAGCTACAACTTGACAGAATAGAACATGACATACAGAAATGGTCAAATCAACACAAAACCTCGGGCACAGGTACTTCAATTCAGGCTTCCAAATTTAACAGCGATTTCAGAAGTGAACTTAATTAGAATGCTGTCATAATAAAGAAAAAGCATACGTAAGTAGAACAATGAATAAATATTAGTAAATGTTTTGAATTTCAAAGGTAAGAAGGGTTTATGATATCTACAATACTGTGGTGAATGTCAAGGTATTTTAAGAGTCTCTAGTCATTTAATTTCAGTATATTGACTATTGGCGAAAGCGGGAGAGATGAAGAAACCTTTAGCGGTGGTTAACACTCAACAACTATTTGGGCTTATTGAGAATACGATGGTTAGTAAGACGACCGAAAAATTGGGACTCTGATAACTTCTTAGGACAGAAGACTAGAACATTGGGCAGGAAACTTTGGAAGTGGCCCACAGCAATGCTTCAGTTGCCCAAGATGCAGCTGGGTCACGAATAGGACGGAGATGTCAGTTGCCCAACTATTGAAGTCGAGGAAGCTGTGTCGAATCTAAAAAATGCTAGGCGTAGGATATGACAGTTTTTCCGGTATGGAGGTAGGAAATCGATTAGAGTTATGGAGATACTAGGTAGTGTATAGGAATCACAAGTAGTGGCGCCAGACTGATATATTTCACTGATCATCCCAGTCTATAAGAAAAGAGAGATGTCTCCTTGTAGGAGCAATTAGGAAATCAGTTTAATTAATCTTGTGACCAAGATCCTAGGGTCATTAGTTATCCAACACATAATTGGAGCTGGAAAGTAGAAAACTGGACAAAACTAAGCAGGTTTCAGACCTGAACTACAATGCATCGACCAAATTTCCATCCTTCTACAGGTTCTGGAACACAGGCATACTTACCCGCACCAAGTAATCGTCATATTTGTTGACCTGACTGGCATTTGACTGTCTTAGTCGTGAGGTGTTGTGGCAGTGTATAACTGAAGGGAATACTGAACAGGTGTATAATGCTAATCAAAATTGTCTATTCAAGCTCATGCAGCCGTATAAAGTCATATGGAAAGTTGTCATCTGAATTGACAACAATTAGCAGTGTCCGCTAGAGATAGTTGCTGTCGCCGTTCCCACTTAACTTCGTTATAGACGTACTAATGGACATAACTTCAGGTATATTTGACTTCACAAGGATTTTCTTGCTTGTTGTAGGGCATGTGGTCAACTTGGAGTACGCAGATGATAATTTCATACTAGGTGAAGACGCTGGCAAAATGCAGGGTCTTCTAAATGCGTTGAGCAGAAATGTGAGTATATTTGAGATGCGCATCGCACCTGTAAAATGTAGTATGATGTTTCTGGATAGGTATGCAACTACTGGTTTACGGATGGGGATTGAAGTGGTGGAATGTGTCGACCACTTCACTTACTCTGGGAGTTGCATTAGCTCCAACATACTGGCCGGTGATGAAATCTCAGTTTGAATGGAGGAAGCTCGTTTGCCATTTTATAGCTTACATAATCTCTGGAACCGACTGAGGAGATTCCCGATGACGTATTAAAGGATAAGTAAGCTGCGCTGTAGTTAATCCTGTCCTGTTATATGGCTATGGGATGTGACGGTCGGAAGTACAAGACATAAAGAGACTACAGGTTTCCGACTAAAAGTGTTTTCGTAGCACTGCTTATTTAAGGTGGAGCAAGCCGTGAGTGCACTAATTATGTGTTTACCCTACGCAAGAAGTTTGAACATCGACAGACGTATTGCAGGCCAACAATCTTTGTGTTTCTCGACATTTGGGTCCCCTTCGATTCGTTGGACAGAGATTTACTCTGAAATTGTCTTTTGGAGAGGGGCAAGTGTGAGAAATTCACTGACATCCTGAAAGCCCTATATAAGAGCACCTCAGCTAGAGTGAGAGTATGCAACCACCTGTCTCCATTGTTCAAACCAGCAGTGGAATTATGCGAGGTTGCCCGATTTCTCCACTTATCTTTCATTTCGCCATCGATGACTTTTATGAGACAGCTCTGACGGAGGTGTGTAGTGGTGGTGTAGACCTACTACCCGGATAACGGCAATTCGACCTTGAATTTGCGGACGGCATCGTTTTACTGTGCGGTAACACAAGCTACTCAAATCGCACCTAAGGAGTTGGCAATTGGTGTCCGTAAGTATGGTATGTGGAAGCGAAAAGTACTTTTGCAAGATTAGTAGGAGCCTGTTCCCACGCTCACCCTCGGTGGTGAGTCGTAGAAAGTAGTCGGAAAGTACGTGTATATCTGGGTAGTTATGCGGGTGCGGGTGGAGATTTCAGTAGTGAAATTTCCAACCGCATGTCAAAAGCCAGTGTGACACTTCAATCTGGGCCGCCTTTGGCGCCGTCGTGCCGTTAGTCTGACTGTAAAAAGTCGGTTTTACAACGCTTCGGTGCGAGCATTTCTGCTCTACGCCTGTAAAACTTGGTCTTTTCGAGCTGAGGATGTGTGATGACCCTGTGTATTCGATCATCGTTGTCTCCGTAGGATTGCTCGTATCTGGGGGCAACCGCATTAAAGTAATTCTGGTGTACGACAGCCCGTGTTTGAGCATCGGAAAGATCGTTGTTCAGTAAGTCAAGTCATCTGAAACACAAGTTACGGTGGCTTGGATATTCGTAACGCATATCCTACCAACGGCTCTCACACCGTTCACTGTTTGAATGGATAGCACAAATGCAGGTGTGGTCAGTGTATGACGTGGCGACGTGGGATGAGGGATGGTTGTGTCAGGTTAGCATCTGTTAGTGCACCACGACTCCCTGGTGGGTTCTAACTCAGTTGCTTGAGATGTTATCAGATATAGCTGAGAATCAAAACCAATGGCAGTTATTCCATAGCTTTTTTCTATCTTCCAACGCTGAAAAGTAATGAATGTTTTGTTTTGAATTTATCTTTTTGGACTGCCTTTCTGGTCATTCTATTCTTTTTTCTCCTTTATCCACTTCCCTTCACTTTGTCTTCATAATGTTATGTTATTTTGTGTAATACATTTCTAGGTGCTCCCTTTCTGTATCAGGTTTGTGCTCTATTAATAACAATATGATAATTTAAGTCGGAGTCACTGTGTCAGCGGTGTCGAGGTTAGGGGAAGGGTACTAGGCAAGGTAGGTAAGTTAGTCGATGGGGTTGTCAGTCTTCGGCAACTGAGGTGGTTTGGACATGTGATGCCCATGCCGAAACAATACCTATCTCCATGTGGAATGGTTGCAGGAGTTTATTTGGGTTGGAAGAGGAGTTAGGAGGACCAGACAAAGACAAGGCACTAGTCCATAAAGTCTATGACTGTTCGCCTCATCCATGTAGAGAGATGTCGACTACCTGTCTCTGGTCCTGGAGACCACAGGAATCAATAATTTAAGACTCATACTGAAGTGAGTGATGCTTGATCACAATGCCACAGATGTATTTACTCTGATGCACATTTGCAAAATTGGAGTGTGAAAAGCTTTAAATCGCTTTTAAATCGATCAGAAGTTTTTATCAGTTTTTCGTAGCCAATTGTGTAGTGTACAAGCGCTTAAAATATTTGCACTTACTGCAACAAATAGCAGTTGAAAGTTTGTGGCATTGAATGCTAACACAATCCTTTTTCATTCTTATGATAATCTTTGAAATCTAGTTCTCACTGTTACGTTGACTTAGTTGAAGTAGAATCTAACTCAGTCAAAGTTACGGATCTAATAACCTACTGATTTAATACTGAACCTTTGACATCTAATAAGTTATTCTGATTTTTTTTTAGCAAGCATCAGCTCTTAGTTACTGTCATGTCAACTGAATTAAGGCGTTCATATTTATTTCAAGTGCATATGTCCTCATAGATTACTGGGACACTTATTCTATTCTCCCTTTCAGTAGTAAAGTTTCAGATTATTTAGAATTTGATCACTGATTCTTTGGGATTGAATAATTTTTTAAATTTTGTGTATACCTTGTGCTTTTTTAAGGTATTTTCTAACTTGGAAAACACTGAACGTACGTTTCAGCTCAGTAGCCTTAAGGAGATTGAGTTTCAATTTTATTCTAGACTCTTCATTATTCGAACTAAACCCTTTTCTAATACAGTAGGTACATGGTTTGTAGCTTGGTACATGAAGTGGTATTTGGTTGCTGAGTTGTATTGTCTTTTATTGGAAGATATTTTTTGTGCACTAAAGTTATCGAATTGCAACTGTCTGTTAAGCATAGTTGAGGAACATTATTGTTGAAAAGCAATATTCTAAATGGTCATCTTATTGAACATGACACTTGATGACTAGATAATTCAGAATTGTTAGATTTAGTGTCAGAATGCTCAGAGGTTCCGTATAAATACTCAATTTTATAACATACTACGACATTTCTGACAATTAGTTCAACTTATTTACAGGATTCTATTATAAAGATGAATTTTTACAAAACAGGTGGCTAGCCGGTACTCTTAGCAGTACTATCCTATTTACTCAAAATTTATTTCTTTTTTGGTGTTAAAAAGTGTTATATGTCAAACCATTGTATATTGTTGTTAGTTTTGAAAGAGGAATAGCTCATATCGTCTATAAATACCATTGATACACAGAGGAGAAGAATCGTTTCAGGTTTTCCCTGAATAATATCTTCACTGAGATGTGATATTGTGCAGTCATTTCGTTGAAATATACTTCGTACTTTTTCCTTGTTTATATTGAAAATTTCCGTACAAAGAATATGAAAAGACTTTCATCTGTTTTCTACGCAGTGGTTGTTTATGATCCGTTCTTTATTTAAAGCTTCACTGTGTAGATGAAATAATTTTCTGTTTTCTGTGTAAAGTCATAACACTGCAGCTTAGTAGTTTTTGTATCTGACTGTTAACCATTAGGCTAAACTGAAACTTACTTCTTATTCAACCACCGGTAAGATCATAAGGCCATGCACACTAGATGTAGCTGGGCATAGTGATACCCATTCCTTCCACTGCTTTAATTAACTGTTAGTTTTCCTCTATAAATAAGCAGATAGCAAAAAGCAACGTATAACCTCGCACACAAGTGCACTCGTTCAAGTTGCTACACTTAACAGTAGCATACAAAAAATAAGTGAATGGGAAAAGACTGATATCAAAGTAGGCAAAGGTGTTTGAGGAGGGAAGGAGTTTGGAAAATGAAGGTTAGTGTAAATATTTCAGCTTTAGATGACATCAGAGAGTGAGTGCATCTGCACAAGTGTGACCAACTGTCAGTCACTTCACCATCAATCTCCAACCATTGATTCTTGTCATCTCAGGACTCAAGATAGATAGTCGACATCTCCCTATCCAGCTCAGACCATAATACATCGTAATCTGTTGAGTATATTTTTTATCCGAATGCTGCTACTACTATAACCACTGTTATCTATCTTTTGCAGGTCTCTTCCAATTAGGCTCCAGATGGATACTGTATATTGATATTGTGGGAGTTGTTCGCACTGTCGATGAGCGTGAAAAGTTTTGTATTGTTGATTGTAAGCTTTAAATTACTGAAATCCGTATAATTCCTTTTTATTCATTTCACATTTACTCCACTGTTTAAAATTCGATTTGTTTTAAGGCTAACACATGTCAAGGCTTCTGTCGTATTTTGTAGATGTACGGAGTAAAGAAATGACAACCATGAAAGATCAGCGAGTAGATTAATGTGTGGATGGGGAAATATAAGAGAAGTTTAAAAACTCGTGATATCTTGTCAGAATATTTAATCACTAAAGGCAAATTACTGTTACGTTGTCTAGTCCATAATATTACTCAATTCGTATTGACTAAGTTCACAATGAAAGGGATTTTCACTTACTAAATCAAAACATTCAGCAAAAATGACTCAACGCCAGTCTCTTAATGTGTAAAATCGCACTACCGATGAAATCATCGAATGAACAAACATAGAACTATGGAAAGTAAGTCAAATAGTTGTAATTACCTTAATATAATTAGGAGAGATAAATTGTACTCGAAACGTCATCCAGTAGAGAAGTTCATTGTTATATTGACTGAGCTAATCTAATATAAAATTCTGGATATGGACATCGACTTCTTTGGGTGGTGTAACCGAAAATTTGTTTGTTTGAGGTACTGAATAGTTCGCCAACTAACTAACAAAATGTTGAGGATAACCTTAACTTTAAAGTGTAATATTCGCAGACGATAAGAAGGTCTACATAAATAGTAATACTTATTCACTTTAAATACTACTTGTTTTAAAATTCTAATGCAATAGTGAATAAACTTGCAAGATATTTTCTCGCACTTTAGGACAGTAGCTCAAATGACATTCATTGAGTTATTAAATATAATCTCAATCCATATACTTCCTTCTGATTTACTGGTTAGTATTATAGCTATCAAACAGCCTAATACATAAACACTTTTCTACTTGTTAGGTTACTTTTACGATTCCTTTATATCCTTTTTTATCATCCTAGTGGATGATGGTACCGGCTGTCTAACGTGTACTATTTGGCATCGTGATTGGTTCCATAATACTTATAATCACTTGACGAGTGGGAAGTATTCTTTTGATGTCGAACAAAACAATCTGTGTGAACAAATTGTTAAACTATCATATAAGTCACAACCCGTTTCATCATCGTCATCACACCGGCATTCATCTGGTCTGAAAGTGGGCCAAACTTTGCAACTAAGCGGTCGCTTGACCTGTTTTCGTGGGAAATTGAAACTGAATGCCTACTTTTGTCGTAAGTTGATTTTTGTTATATCGTGTTCAAACTTAATATAAAGCTTTTTCATGAGTAATAATGTAAATCTTCCCTCATTGTTCTAGGTTAACACCCTTTGAAATGTGAAAGAATGTGAATAAAAGAAATATGTTACTGAAGGAAACTAAAAAAAGCGAATCGATACATGTAATCAAATAAGGTGTCAAGGATTATATCAACATACTAAGAGGTTGTTGAAATTTCTTCACTGTCTGATTTTGAGCCAAGTGATTTGAAGATATCAACAGATGAATTGCACCATCTCAGGAGATACGAATGGACAAGTATACAGTTTACCACAAGGGAAAGAGTGATAGCGAACTAGTTTGGCATTTTATCTTCCACTGACGACCCAAAGACTGCCCTCAAGCATGAAATACTTTAGATTGGATTATACAATGACTGGGCTTTCGCAATACATTGCAGTCATTTGAAAAGATTAGTTGTTTGAATAAATTTTGATAACGTTATTAGAAGACGAAGATTATCTGAAGAGAGGCTTAGTAATATGCTTATTCAATAAGATCCAATGTATTTGTACATCTGTTATAATGGATGATGAAGGAAAATTTCTGACAGACACTTATGGAAAGCGGATATCCATTACAGTTTATGAACCGTTGTAGAGAACAGCTAACTCCGAAGCCTAAGATACTTCCTCAGTCCCAAAGAAGGATATATTTCTTAAAGTACCATACCATACAGAGGGGAAGCGAATAGTATGATATTGAAACATTAAAATCTGTTATCAGTAAAACATATTATACAGCTCAGGTTATCACTGTTGAGACAACAAAACGAGATGAGATGAACGATCAGTAGCAGACTGCGAAATATGATATAACGGAGTAGGCTCATCCGTACCACTGAGATCGACTCTGAACAATACTATGTTTATTCTATTAATATCAGTGAGTTTCGGTGGTGTGCGCCCATTTAATTTCTTATCAACTGTTATTTGGAACTTATTTTGGTTCGTAAATATATTGGTAACGGTTGCTTTACCCAATAAAATAACTGACTAAAGAAAGGAAAGAAAAGTTTTGATTTGAAATTGATTTTATATCGTTATTTTGTAAACTCTTTTAAAGGCTTTCTACCAACCCCTTTAATTGTTTTGTTGCTTGCCTCAACGTTGAAAGGTAATAATTAGTTACCTACTACTACATCCCTGATGTTTGCAATCTTGTTGGGGCTGTTTTAGGCTTATAATTTATTGTGTTGTTGACATTTATAACTCGGTTGTACAGACGCATCAGCTGCTAACTAAAGGGTAGTGAATATTGCGTCTTTTCTATGGCTGAGGCGTAGAAGACATAGGCAACTATGGCTATGTTCTAACAGTGCAACCTATAGACAGGCAATAATCATGTGAAAAATTCGAAGTTGTTTCCGGTTGTCATCACAAGCACATGATACAAGCCCTAGAAGTTTATAACCATCCGAATACTTTTTTCTAGGTTGAATTCAGATCCTTCAGCTGTTGTCGCATAGCTTATAAACGTTGGAAAGCACCTGCTTTTAGCAATCTCTTAACTAAGGCTAAGCAATTAACACTTCAGAACCATTCCTTGGTAATTAAAAGTAAGAAGTAGTTATCCTGTATTAAAAAGTAAACTAAGTTGAGAAACGTCAAGCATTTTTCCCCATTTAAATACTCACTGCGACATTAACAAAAGTTCAGAAAGAGTCAGAAATGTGAATTACTAGACAAAACTTAAGCCTATGGAATTCTTATACTAAAAAAACATGCAACAGCAAAGAATTATTTATCTTCAACGACTTCATTATCAAGCTGTACAGTCGTATTTATAATCGGTAAAATGTCAGATAAATATACTAAAAACTTGCTCAATCGATATGCAAAATATACAATTGGTGTTGATGGTGGGATTTGTTCATGTGAAAGAAATAGTAAATGGGTCGCTAAATAAAGGACGCAATTATAACAAAAGTGATGAGATAAGGGTCGAGTGCTGTCAATGAAGTGTAATATGATGATGATGATACAAGTGAAGTATACACATTGAAGTGCAATGGAATTGATAAACTAACAGAAATGAATTATTCAGGCCAAGGTGGGGAAAGTGGTTTCACAAAACGTTTTTGAACGCAAAGTCTCTGTGTTTATTCTTGTAAAGCTAATGCTTCAGCTATGCACAAATGGTGGGAATTTAAACTTTTGAAGTAGCTCGATTTAACTTAGTAAATTGCCTTAAAAGATGGATCTCGAAGTGCTGAATGACCTAACTCCACTTGGTGTTCACTTATAAATGAAGTTGTAATCCAACCCGGGTAATGTTCAGCAACGCGTTTTCGGAGGGTCTGCTTACAACACCATTTTTAGTCAGCTCCACAGGACCATGTGAATTTGTAGATACATATAGATGTGGACATAAATGGGTGGCTTATCCTTCACACATTGTCGAGTCAGACGACAGCTGGAAAATATCAGTTTCAGACTAGCAGCATATAGGGTATTATTGATATACTTCAACAGACAGCTTTTCAACACTTTGAATTTCAGATTCATGATTACATTTTTCTTAGAGTGAGGGGTGATTCGTTTCTTTGGGTTTCTGCCTTTGAATCGGGCCATCATCTCTTCTATTTAACATTATGTCTAGGAGGTGAGAAGTTGAATCTAACTCTTCTTCTACAGTGAATTTAATAGACAGGTGACAATTATTGAAACGTCTTAGTAGCTTGTCCACTGAAAATGTTCCGTTACAAATAAGAAAAGTATCTTCAATGTACCTTCTATACAGATATAGTCTAGAGATTATTTCTTTAAGTGACCCATTTTAGAGTTTTGGCATGAAGATATCAGTCAGGACGGGGTCTAGTAGAGACCCCATTGCAAATTCGTGCATGTGATTATAAATCACATCATTACATCTGAATTGTATATTAAACGTGCATCTTAATATCAGTTCCTTAAAGGGGTAGCTCTTAGATAATATTATTAGAATCAGTGTACTCGCATAGATAATAAACAGTTTTAACAAGTGGAACATCGGTAAATAAAGGTGAGACATAGAGCGATATCACACGCTAACCCGTTACATTGATTTCTTCGATGCAGAGGAAGACTACATTTACACAATTTTAATCTCATAGGTCCAAGAATTTTAGCAAGCCACTTCGTCAATGAGTGATAGGATGAATTAAGCATATCCAATAGCGGGCGAATAGGAAGGTCATCTTTATACACCTTCGGTAGTCCATATAAACGGGGTATATTTGAACCAGATGATAAAAGATGTTCATGGATATCTGGGGTAATTAAGGATTCTTTCAATTTTCTTAAGATTTTTGATATTTGATTTTCAATATCTCCCGTCCTCTTTCTGGTTTCTGGATTTTAGGAATTTATTTTCATGATTAAGAATTAGGCATATTCTATCACTATAATCCATTGCACTTTGTGTTTTTTGATGTCATACCTCGTTGTCAACATGGATATACTTGTACGCCCAGGAAAAGGATCTGGATTATATTGATAGAATATGCTGGGTAATTATTTGTGTAGCTTGTTATTTTAGGATGTTTTTCTGGATGGAGTTAATCGACCTCTGTTTACATCTCGATATTAAATGTTGGTGTTGAATCTCAGTGTGAACAGCATTACTCACTGGGTACATCCATTTTACTAATCCCAAACAAACCGAGATAGGCGTCTAAGATTCTACTGCTAGCCACCACTAATCAAATTACAATATGGTGAATAATCAGGGAATATTTAGGCATCCACATTGGAGCCCATGTACCAACAGAAGTCGACCAATTCGATCCAGAATAACAACGGGAAATTACAAGTATCAAGGATTTATAATAACTGATAGGCGCTGCACAAGAGGTGGTTCCCGTGCCTCGGTGGCTTGGTGGGGGACGCTTTTGGGGTTTGGAGCGATGGGTGCTGGGTTCGGAGTCTCAGTGGGAACAACATCACTCCCTGGGGTCCGGGTGAATCCGGTTAGGGAGCCCCAGATCGAATGAAACGCGTTGTTATCCCACTGCTACCCACCACCAGAGCAGTTTGAAATAATGTCCACTGGTCACTGGGTCTTTTTTAATTCATGCAGTTTATCTACATCATGTATATTACCGGTATCTCTTAGGATTCATTCTTTTTTATGTATGCATTTTGATTACGACAATTAAAATCGGTTCATCCGTAAATTAGAAGATAGACTTCGAGTGAATACCACTTCTGATGATAATAATTTTTAAATGGTATTTAAATGAATTCTTCTGCGCTTTTTATAGGTCTAGTCAAAGATGAAGGTGAATTGTTAAATCAAATCATTCACAGATATCATTTACATCAAGAAATCTATTCACAACCTTACGATCCTGAAACTGTTGCAAAAAATGTCAAAAAATCTCATGTGGTAAGTTTCGCTTTCTTTACTTTTGGTTAAAGAAGGAAATACTTTGATCAGTTTGTTATCGGTATTCCGGTTATCTGAAAAGGTTTTGATTTTTCAGTGATAATTACTTTTTCAAAGAAAACTTCGCAGTCGACGACTACTCAACTACTTTATGATTATTAGTACTATTGCTATTGCAAGCAGATATAACTAACACCGGATATGGCGTAAATTTGTTGCTGTTCAGGTTCCAACACCTTATATCAGAAAATTTAAGTGTAAGACGTAAAGAAAACAAGACGACAAGCAGAAAAAGAGAAAAAAACATATGATTTAGATGAAGATAAGATGTAAATATATTGGAGACTTTTCATCTGTTTGGAAAGAAAAGCACATACTTCAAATTTCTCTTCGAAGGGGTCTTTTTCATGTCATAGTTTTCTTGATAAATGTTAGTTAGTCGCTCTTTTTTGAAAGTATCTAAATTATTGAATTTTGTGTTTCTTTTAAAGATAAATTGTTTATTTTGACTATTGCCAAGTTTTTCAGATTGAGTTTTAAGTTTTCAAACCGAGTTGTTCTCTAAGTTAAGGTTTTCACGAGTAACGTTTTTATTACCAAGTTGGGTATCATCATCATCTTCATTATCACTGCATGTTCAAAGAAGTTTAATTTAAAGGTATGAGATAAGCTTTTTGAACTCAACTTGGCAGCATTATCTTGGTCTGTGTGCTGGACTAAGTAGTTTGTCTATTCGATGGTCGTCACTAGGCAAAGCTGAGTTCCGACGCGTAACCCAGTGTTTCAGTATAAATATTTATTCTAGATATGAACCATATTCTTTCTACTACAGTCAGCTTCTTATATGATTACTATTTCTCCACATAAGAAGGAATTTAAAGAAAGGAATTCTGTGTGGATAAATAGCTGGAACAACGTGGAGACTACTGATTGTACCAGACGTTTAGTCAATAAACTTAATTCGTCATCAGATGTATTTAGTTGTGGAATATTGCTGTCTTTTGAGCAGAAGTGAAACGTCAACACTAAGTATTTTCATGTTGCACATTATCCTCTCTTAAATGTTGGCCGTCTTTTCATCCAACACATTTTATTCTGCCTTGCTTCCTTTGTTTGTTACTTCCACTTCGTTATGTTGCAACTCAATCTGATGCAGACTTTTTTGTATGAGCCTCAGTTGTGAGAAGGCTGAGTATACATACTAACTGGTCACTCAGACCTTAGTTGGTGGCACAGGCTTAAAACCCGGGACGTTTTGCTCGAAAGTCAAATGCTTAAGCCAATGATTTACATTCACTTTCTTCACTAGGGTTTAGAATAAACTTTCCCGTGCTTTGGATTATCTTATTGTTGGCTTTTTTCCACGTACTTTTGTGAGGCATAGTAACTTCTGTCTTTTCTGCAGATTTATCATTGCTTCTGTCTATAAATATAAGGCAAAAAATCTGAAAGGAGATTTGTTTTAATATGTTAATCCTCTATTTCCATTTACAAAGTAATATAATCCTTTTTTAAAAGGATTATTTGACTAGTTTACAATATCAGCCAAACTAAGTCAGATCCTAATTTTGTTGTAGATCTGTGTACAATTTATTAACTTGTTAAGAGTGTTCTTTTCAGTGAAATCACCCGCATCATGGTTGCTAGTATTTACTTAATCATCAGTAAGGTACAAAAGTTTTCAAGATTTTAAACTCACGTCCTTATCATCAGTCTTGTAGGCAGTACAAATTGACTGTAAAATATAGCGTAAAGGCGTTTGTTTTGTTAAGTGAGGTCAATTGTTCGACTGATAAATGTGACATTGATTTTGTACTTATCCCATGTACTATACTTTGGGAATGTAAGCGAAAACATTTGATCGCATTCTGGTTTTGATTTCTAAACACTTCCTAATGAAATTAGTATAGAATCGTTGATCATCATTCGACGGGAGGAGTGAACTTTTATGATAGGTAGGGCATAAACAGGGTAGTGCAGTAATTTGTGTAAAACTCGGGGACTGTTGTATAACTATGCACCACATATCAAGTAAACAAATCTAATAGGGTAATCCAGTGTACATATTTTTAAATTGTAGAATGTGAACGGAATTGTTCTCTACATCTCTGTTACTTTTGAATCTGGATTTAATCAACTGTGTTGATCTGTACAAAGTACTACTGTCTTAACTTAAAGAATGTTGGTTGGATGGAGGTTGACAGGAAGCCTTAAACCCTTGGTTTCATGCTTGTTGGTATTCGTTAGCAAGGTGTATATGGGACCTCGAGAGAAATCATGACTTATGTGAGAATTAAACTCGCATTCCTCAGTGCTGCAGTTAGAAACTGTACCACTTAGCTATGTAAGCCACGATTGACCTCCGCTGGGATTGAATTAGATTCCTTGGTTGGTCACTGTTGGAATAACCAATTTCATATTGTCTAGTCCTGACGAGTGTCAACGAGCTCAAAGCCTAGGTCTAGGGTTTTCTGTTGGTCCCTTCCAGCCAAATAATATCTAACAAAGTTCACGGCGATTGTGAACCTCCTAGCTAGATGGTCATATTGCATACGGCCAATAGAATTTGGTCAGCACTCAAGACTAGACAACATATAATTAATTATTCTCTAGTGACAAGTTAATGTAGTTCAAAAAATATTGTGTACTTGAACTTTTTTACTGTAATCACTAAAGACTACGTAATTTCTCAGTGACGACTGATGTTCCTGAAAGTTGCATTGACCGTTTCATTGACAGTTTATTATGGACTATCTCAGTGGATAAAATCCACTGAATTTCATGAATCGAATAGTCTAAGTATTCTATAATTATTAATAGACGTGTAGTACGAAAGCTGGATGTTTCTTTTGACCGACGATGAATTCTTGTGAAAGCTTTAACTATTGAAATATGAAAAGTACCATGACCGTGAAAGTTTGCTATCATCTTACTCTTTGACAGTAAAATTCTATGGGACTTTAAATGTAATCTTTCGTATGAATATATACATATGACATGGCTTCCTGCTAATTGGTTCTCAGCCGATGATCTTCCTGATTGTGGTCGACTGGACCATGTAACGAAGTGTGAGGAGCGAGAAGATGGGCATACACTGGCTGGACCGATGAAAAGAGCCCAGAAGAAGATTTGGATTTCGCCAACCATGATTTATGTCTAATGTCTTGTCACACAAACTCGAAGATCTACGGGCGAAAACCAACAAGTTGACAAAAGAGGTGAGGCAGCGAAGACGGGACTTTAAATGAATGTGGAGAAGACGGAGGTGATGAAGATACCCGACCAACAGCAACAAGCACCAATCACCATTAACGGGAGAAACCTAAAGGAAGTAGTCTGTTTCACCCGCTTAGGCGGCATAGTTTCCACCAGAGGCGGCGGCACAGATGAGGACGTCAAAGCCAGGACCGAAAAGGATCAGCGAGACAGGTCTTCATTAACCTGAAATCAGTGTGGAGATCTACTGCACTCAGCGTAAAGAACAAGATCTGGATTTTCAACACTGATTCGGTCAAGTCAGTGCTTCTATATGGTTTAGAAACTTGGTGCGTCACGAAAAGCATTTCCAACAAACTACAGATATCAACAGCTGCCGCCTACGATCGCTTGATACTGAAGATCAGGTGGTCAGAATAATAAGAATAAGCGACAAGGGACTCTGGCTGGCAACGAACCAACCGAGAACCCATCGCCCAACGAATATGCAGAAGAGAAAGTGGAGATGGATTGGGCATGCACTGAGAAGACCATTCGGGGACATCACGCGCCAGGTCAAGCCCTCGAGTTGAATCCGAATGGGAAAGGACGAGTTGGGTGTCGGAGGGTGACGTGGAGGAGATCATGTGAGGAAGAAATGAAAGCTTGTGGATAGTGGTGTAGTCAGGTTCAAAAGACTGTAGAGAACAGGGTGAAATGGAGACGTGCTACTGAAGCCCTATGTTCCACTAGGAATCCAAGGAAGAAATAATAATAATCTAACGCCGAAACGCAGCACTGCTTGATATCATGTAACTGAGTGACTACAATGCCAACTTGTTCGAAAGACTTGTGTTAGCAATAAAGAATTGATACCTTGATCGGTTATCATCTTGTCACCAACTCCCAGTAGTACTAGTTAACTAGATTAAAAATCATATACTAGGATGTGGATCGCATTTATTCGTTTAGTACTACTATATTATTCATGTATCCAAGATGAATTTAGTCGATGTAGTGAACACCTATTTCAATCGTTGATAGCTGAGTTCACGCATTAGTTAATTTCTGTCTCTATCGCATGAAGATGTATTGAAGATAGATTATGTAACAGCAAAACATCTATTATACTAAATTATAAACATTTAGAGAATCAAAATATCACTAACTTTATTCATATTTTAAGCTTAAAATTAATTTTTTCAAAGCGAAATCAAATCTGTTGACGCTGTCCTGTTTTCCCTTGTTATTTTTCCGTAGACTAATTTGGCGAATTCACTTGTTACAGAAACATGTAGAATTCTTGTGCAAGATAATATTCGATTGTTTACCAAACTGGATTTATGTTTACATCCGAAAATAGTTGAGTCTATCACAGAAAATTGGACGTCCTTAGCTGTGGTGAGTAAATCCTTTTTTGTGCGAATTACTCTACGAGAGATATACTGGAAAGACATGATAAAAACCATCTTAACCGAAACCAAACTAGAAACGGGTAGTCTCTCTGAAAGATTTAGGTGTATGATACATCAATAGATATGATATCTCGTGTGATCAATATGAAATACTTTTGTGTTTTCTTCATTCATAAGGCAATCGAAATGGAGTCTGTGTTTTTAGTGGTATTGAGAACCACGTAGTGGAAGTAAGGCATGTTTCGCAGTGTAAAGCCTGATACAATAATTCACCACCTGAGGTTATCATAATTCTTGACTACTGATTGAGAGAAAAAACTAAATGAAGAAGAAAGTGACTGGAGACTTGGAAATAAACGTAATGGTATGTTCAGGATAACATGAAGTTATTATTTCACTGGTTGCGTTCAACTTAAATGAATCGAGTCAGGACAACAGCTTTAGCACAATAGCATGGATCCATTTTATTTCCTGGGTTCTCATCAGATGCTTAGATTGTAACCACCGAAGATAATTATCTTTCCAACGACTCATTTTTGCAGCTGTTCATTCTCAAATATATAAGCAAAGGGATAAAATGGTTCAGACAAGTTTCTGAACAAAGGTCAAAATTAATCGATGGATATATAGAGGGAATGAAATTGTGCTAGGTAGCACATGAAACGTTCAGAATAGTTTTATAAAATTCATTGAGCAATAAAACTTAGTATCTCGTATATATATATATGAATATTTAAATCAAAAAAATGCAAAAAGCAGACATAAACGGAGGTGCAGAATACCTACTTAAGGTCACGGTAAAGAGAGTGTTTGTAAATGTTTCTTTTGAATACACAATTGAGGTTAGAAGCTGTGAATCACCAAAACCTTAGCTGCACATAAATGCTCAATCCTCACTCCTTTTGGTCAGAATTTATAGATAACCTTGAACGAGATTTCTAGAGGAACCAGATATCCAGAGTCTACGAGCTGTTCGACAGTGGAGCTGGTTCTGTGCTCACCCTTCACCAACCAGGGTGGGATATGTTCGCCAACGCATAGTACTACTGACGAACTCAGCTACGCAGGAAGAAGTGAACTTTTAAATTTAAATTGATGAGGTCTAATACATCAACTTGTTTTTCACGCACTGACGGACCATCTATTGACATGAGAAAATGAAATGGTTTGCTGCACAGAATGTCTTACCATGGGACTTTGACAAGTACTGGTACAGAATATCCACAATAGTATCTATCACTTTTGAATGTGAAGTTCATTGACAGTATTTTCTTTGGAGCTAATTGAATCTCTTGCATAGTCTTCTTTTCTCTCGTACTTTTCCCCATAAGTCAGGGTGGATAACCATTCTCAAACAGTATTTCTCGGAGGATATATTTTTCATCTTGGTGTTTAGTATCGTGATGTACCTATATGAGGTGTGGGAACTCCGACCGTTCAGAAATATTGCATGTCCCACGTTTATATTAGCTAACTGTCTCAGTGTTGTCTTACGAGGAAAATAAAGCTGAAAGTGAGATGATAATTTTCTTTCTGAGCAATGAAAACTAGTGGAGCAGTCACTGTCTAAAGTATTGGGCACCAAATGCAAATTACTTTTCAGATTCCACAGAAATGTCGTCAACTTGGCACGTCTTAGTATATCAGTTTTTGAACCGCACGTCATATGTACTATTTGGAAAGACAGTACACTAATGCATGAATGACCAGTTCGATCTAGATGAAGTACTAGTACTTTATGACTCATTTCAACCGTTATGACTGTGAATGCGTGGAAATAATCTGTAGATGAACTCAAGGTAACCAATAAATCAATAAGTTAAAAAAAGTAAACTGAGATAATCACCATAGATACTGAACTTCCTCGTGCATCTTGTAAAACTGCTAAGTGTCTCCGAACCCCAGTTGATCAAATTTTAAAACACTGAATCTCTAATCAGTCGACTGAACTGTGTATTTCCTTTATAATGAAATAAACCGTCATTTGATACTTGTAATCTCCCGTTGCTATATTGGGTTGGACTGCTCCATCTCTGTTGGTTGATGAGCTCCTATACGGATGGATAACGCTTGGTCGTTTGAAGCGATGGGTACTGAGTTCAAGTCTCAGTGGGGACAGCACTGTCTGAAGTGCAGGCACATCCAGCTAAAGAGTCTTAAATAGAACGGAACAGGTATCCTGGATTCTACTGCTAGCCACCAAACGTAAATTAACGAAACATACCGTCACTTATGCACAAAAGTTGTTATTGAGATGGCACAGGTTTAACTTGTCAATCGAGCAGCGGATAGTCAGTCGTGGAAATAGGCGAATGTCGTGGAGCAGTGGTGCGATTTGATAACTGCTAAAGAGTTTATTTTATTAGATAATGAGCTACACCAGACAATTATTTTCTTATTTTATTTCACACAAAACTTGATACGGGATGAATACTAAGTAGTGACTTTAAGTTTTGATAAAATTAACTGTGAAGAAGCTGTGACTTACATAGTGAAAAGTTCAGGAGAATTTTATTTCGATTTTGTAAACATCCAGGGGTTTTGTTAAAACTTATTCCTATAATGAATAAATCAGACTTGGCGGTCATTGTCTTTCAAGATATTGATAACAGTTACAGTTTGGATATCTTCAGAAAGCTTTTATAATCGTACACTATTCTTCAGCGATACATAACATGAACTTACGGCATGATCACCACAACCACTACACTTCTTTGATAGTGTAATCTACCTCGCCTGGTTAACTAATTCGCTAGTTACTAGCCGAAGCCCGGATAAAGAGGGAAGGTTGGGCATAGAGCTAGCAACCCTAACCCGTAAAACCAATCCAACCGCTAAAGAAACTTCAAAGCACAACGAAAATACAAAAGATAAAAGTAAACTTATTCCTCTCTGGAATCGGGGAGACGAAATGACGCCGGTTGGTGAAAGCCTTCGGGAAGCCAATTGGCCGATATGTCTTCTCTCGATAAAAGCGAAAGTAAACATGGGGACATGGGATGTCCGAACCTAGCACCAAGCAAGGATGTCCAGATTGCAAAAGAGATGAGAAAGTATGACATAGAAGTGCTTGGAATCTGTGAAAGCAGATGGAATGGGAGTGGACTCTCCAAACTGTCAACTGCAGAGTCAATAATCTACTCTGATATTGTCACCCAGACGACAACCACGAGCACACTAAGTTATGGAGTGGCTATCATGATGTCCCCAAGAGCATTGAAGGCTCTCATTCAGTGGGAGGCAATCTCCTCCTCCAGAATCAGGATCATGACAGCAAGATTCAAATCAAAAGGAAGAAAAGGTACAATCATACAATGCTACGCTATGCACCTACAAGAATGCAGATGAAGAGAAGGAGGAATTGTACAGACAACTGCAATCAGTAATGGACAAGACGTCAGTTGGCGATATCAAAATTCTAATGGGCGACATGAATGCGAAACTGGGAGGGGACAGCACAGGAAGAGAACTCATGCATCATAGGTCGAGAAGCACTCGGTGGAATGAACGAGAACGGAGAACTGTTTGCAGATTTCCACTCATTCAATGATTCGGTGATAGGAGGTAGTATGCACAGACACAAGGATATTCACAAACGACATGGATTTCACCAGATGAACACACTAAAAATCAGATCGACTTCATCTCAATGTGAGGAAAGTGTCGACGCAGCTTACCGGACACAAGATCAAGAAGGAGAGCAGATGTAGGTTCGGACCACTATCTAGTGCAAGAAACCTGCTTTCGAAATCAAGTTGAAAACCTTCAAAGAAGTTGGTGATAGACAACAGTTCAGTACCCAGAAACTGAAGGACGAGACCACAAGGGACATCTACACGTCAGCCATCAGGACAAAATGAGAGACATTGAACAGCATCCCTGAAGAATCCTGCGTGGATGAACACTGGGACTCTTTGAAAGCTATGAGGAAAGAAATTTGCATAACCGTATTAAGAAGGAAGAGGAAACAAGACAAGGAATGGATTTCGAGGGATACATGGAAGCAGATAGAGAAGAGGAAGATGATGAAGCAGAAGATAAACCAGTGCAGTGCAGGGGTGAACAACGAAAAGAGGAACTGAACACAGCCTTTAAAACACTACACTGGACATGTTACTATCTGGGAAGCGATCAACGCAGACGAAATCAGTGAAAGATAGTGAGGGAAAGCCAGTTACCAAAGAGGAGAAAGAAAGGAAACAATGGGCTGACCTGTTCACAATACTCTTGAGTCGATCACCACCTACAACTCGTCCAGAAATATCACCACCAATGCCAGAACTACCAGTGAACACAAGCCCTCTGACAAAAGCAGAAGTCCGGAACGCCATAAAGTAACTGAAATGAAGGCAGCAGGACCAGATGGGATTCTTCCAGAAGCGCTGAAAACAGACGCAGAGACAACAGCTGACATGCTCACACCACTACTGCAGAAGGTTTGCAGGGAAGGAAAGGTACCTACAGGTTAACTGGAAGAATCGCTACCTGATCAAACTCCCAAAGAAGGGAGACCTAAGTCTCTGCAATAGCTGGCGAGGAATCATGCTGCTGTCCAACCCAAGCAAAATATTAAGTCGCATCACCCTGGAGAGACTAAAGGATGCGTTGGATTCAAAATTACAACCGGAACAGGCTGTCTGGATTCAGGAAGAACAAATCATGTGCGGATCAAATTGCAACGCTTCGCTACGCATCATCATAAAACAGAGTGTAGAATGGCAATCAACTCCATAGCTCAACTTTATCGACTTTGAAAAGTCCTTCGACAGCGTCGACGGAGAAGTAATTTGGCAGCTGCTGCTTCAACACTACGGTTTTAGTGCCACAAACCTTTATCAACCTCATTCAAAAGCTATATGCTATGTGATGCTACATACCAAGTGATTCATAACGGAAAGCAGCTCAATGATACCTTTGAAGTGAAGATGATCTTCCTGATTGTGGTCGACTGGATCATGTAACGAAGTGTGAGGAGCGAGAAGATGGGCATACACTGGCTGGACCGATGAAAAGAGCCCAGAAGAAGATTTGGATTTCGCCAACCATGATTTATGTCTAATGTCTTGTCACACAAACTCGAAGATCTACGGGCGAAAACCAACAAGTTGACAAAAGAGGTGAGGCAGCGAAGACGGGACTTTAAATGAATGTGGAGAAGACGGAGGTGATGAAGATACCCGACCAACAGCAACAAGCACCAATCACCATTAACGGGAGAAACCTAAAGGAAGTAGTCTGTTTCACCCGCTTAGGCGGCATAGTTTCCACCAGAGGCGGCGGCACAGATGAGGACGTCAAAGCCAGGACCGAAAAGGATCAGCGAGACAGGTCTTCATTAACCTGAAATCAGTGTGGAGATCTACTGCACTCAGCGTAAAGAACAAGATCTGGATTTTCAACACTGATTCGGTCAAGTCAGTGCTTCTATATGGTTTAGAAACTTGGTGCGTCACGAAAAGCATTTCCAACAAACTACAGATATCAACAGCTGCCGCCTACGATCGCTTGATACTGAAGATCAGGTGGTCAGAATAATAAGAATAAGCGACAAGGGACTCTGACTGGCAACGAACCAACCGAGAACCCATCGCCCAACGAATATGCAGAAGAGAAAGTGGAGATGGATTGGGCATGCACTGAGAAGACCATTCGGGGACATCACGCGCCAGGTCAAGCCCTCGAGTTGAATCCGAATGGGAAAGGACGAGTTGGGTGTCGGAGGGTGACGTGGAGGAGATCATGTGAGGAAGAAATGAAAGCTTGTGGATAGTGGTGTAGTCAGGTTCAAAAGACTGTAGAGAACAGGGTGAAATGGAGACGTGCTACTGAAGCCCTATGTTCCACTAGAAATCAAGGGAAAAATAATCATATGTAGTAAAACGAAATGAACGCTTTCTAGTGTAAAGTCTTTGGGTGTGTTTGCTGGAAATGTAATCGAAGGGATGCACTTCTTAAGTGAGCTATTAGAAGTACAAATTTTTAGTGACCAACTCCTTTAGTATGCGGTAACTCGTACGAAATTCTTTGTTTATCTTTTGTACGTCGCTCATTTATATTTTCCAACCTTTCTTCTACTATACAATACGAAAAATTTAAAGGCGTATGATGAGACTGAAGCGGACTATCTTCGACAAAGTTTTATTGAAAGCGAAGAGAAAGAAGAAGAATCTTCAGTTAAAATGCGAAGTTTAAACCCGAAACAGCTACAACTTATAGTTCATAGCCTGATTGATCGATTATTAATTGAAGGCTGGATTTTCCCATCGAATCAGTCTATCTGTGGAATGCAAACATATCATGTAAGTTATTTATTTTTCATGTGGCTTCAACTGATTGTAATGCATGAATAATTGGGAAAAACGAATATTAACTCAAGTGCCTACTGTCTAAAGGAGCATACACAGAATAAGCGAGGTGATTCGTACTCAGTAGTCAGTGAGTCTATCGGTGATAGTGATTTCAGACTGGTTTAACTAACCAAAAGCTTTTATCATCTATTAATCCAGGATGTGAGTATTCAAAGCTTTTTATGTTACTCAAAAATAACTACATGCTTCGCTTATTGATGATTTATCGGTGTAACCACTTTGAGGTTCGCTCTACTCCTACTTTAAGCAGCATTTGTGGGTTGAGGTGGTAATCATTTATGTACTGATTATCCTCTTTGTTATATACAAACAAACATAATTTTACTTTGAAAATGAATATGAACTGAAAAACTCACAAATTTGAATACATATATCATTAGGTTACAAACTACATTCAATCCACGGTAGCAACTCAATGTGACTGTGACTGTAGATATATCTTGACTGTTCTATTCTATCTCAAAAGCATAAAGTATTCAACATGTATGAGTTCGTATGAGAATTGACCACTGGTATTAGTTAACTAACCTCAAGTCTTTGCACCACTTGATGTCAACTGGTGACATAAATCTCGGATCTTTTTACTTCGCAGTAATTCTTATCGGTTATTGACGAAGAAGTATGAAGTCACCTATCCGATTTAATGATGAAAAATATTTTTGATATGCCCAGTATTTCAAAATCAAAATCATACCACAGTAGCCTGCAAGGAACAGATATCAGAGTAGACAAAGGTGTATTGGAGAAGAAAGGATTTGAAAGTCCAGGCTAAGAAGATGTTCAAGCTTTGGAAGACGTCAGCGAGTAAATACATCTGCATCATTGTAACTGATTTACAGACAAGTCACCATCATCTTGCGGACCCCAACCAGGCAGTCTGCGCCTCCCTACAATTGACTCAGACTATGACCTATCAAATCTGACTCAAGGAGGCTATGTAGTGCAGTGTTATTGATTTTGAATGTAGGGCGGAAAATTGTTTCATTATTCCATTACCTTTAATGACTTTTTAACAGGTTAATTTTAGGATTACAGTTTCCCGGTTTACTAGCACTTCACTTTCCACCATTAGGGTCACCAATTTGAGAGGCCATTTGACTATTAGTGCCTATAGCACAACAGGAGTGATTGTATATAGTACAAAAACTGGCTTGCGTTTACTAAGTTGAAATAAATTAGATTATGTCAATGCTGAAGATTTTTATGAAGATGAGAGCATTTTTATTTATTTACACCATCCATTAAACTTTAGGTCGTGAAGGAGAACTGGAGATTATTGGACGTTGTTTATAATGTCGTCCGGTCTCAAGGTAATTCTTGCATTCCTCCTTGTAATGGTATTTTTACTGATATTATAATAAGTGTAGTTGGGGCTCATCGATCTAGATGGTTGACTTTCAGTCAGTGGGCCTGCCACAGGTTCAGTACCCTAACTGTTCACTTACCAGGGTTCAGCCAACCAGGTAGTATAATAAGACCTGACACTGGTGTGTATTGCGTAATGCACACTTTTGTACATGACCACTGAGTTATCAAACTGAAATATAAAGTACCAGTTGACAATAACCACCTCTGTAAAAGAATAAATAAATTTCATGGCTTGAAACTACGTGTAAAGATGTATCTGAATTCTGATAAAATATTCCACTTGGATAGCGAATGTTATACGGCTATTTTCCTATTTTATACGAGCTGGATTACTTCTAGATCTTGAGATGACCTACCGAAAACCAAGTGTTGAGTATAGCATTCTATCTCAGTGTAGTAGTTCACACAACATAACTATTTTATTTGGATGTAGGTGTTCTAGATGTAGAAGTTATATTACGTTAAAAGGTTGGTGAACCTCTTTCGAGTAGGTATCAAAGTGTAACTAATAGGTCACTTGTTACAGCGTTCAACGTTTACGCTTGTTCAGTCAGTTACTGATGGTTTGTGAAAAAGCCGACTAGATCAAGTTCCGTTACTGTGCTTTTCCGAACGACTTTGTCATGAGATGTTTTATCTATAATAAGTGTACTATGAAACTGTGGTTCGCTTGGTCGTGCACACTCAACTTTCAACCAGTGTATCATATGTTCGAACCCCGGTCTACTTGTCAAGGTATGGAGAGCTAGGTAGTGTAACCAACCCTATCACAATAGATGTGGCTTGTTGCCCACTGAAAAGGCATGCACAAGGTTGCTGAGTGCGTTTTGGTACTATAAAATCAATTGACTCGGAAATACGTTTAGTGTCCACTTACATTTTTACCTGCCATCGCAAAAGCCAACTGTGCATGCTACTAAATATAACTGAAGTTATTAATATGATCATTCTTTTTCTGAAGGATGCTTAAAGTTTTGTGTATTTTTTTCTGAATGATGTCAGTGCAGAGGGGGGAAAAGCAATCTGTATTCTTACAGAGTAATACCTGTTTAACTAACTTGGAGTACTGGTATTATCTTTTAAAAAAGTTGAACCGCATTGAGGTGTTACTTTGTGTAGCTCATATCTCATATATGTGTTGTAAAGTTTGTATTCATAATCTTCTGTATTTCGCTTTCAATGATGAGTTAAGACGTTTTTAGCTATTCTTGTTAACTTCAAAGACTAATGTGTGAGCTGTGTTGACTCTTGATTAAATTTCATATCTTTCTTCCATCTCAGGTATAAGGTGGTTATTCAAAGAGTGTTCATACTTTGTATTACTTGAATGTTTGTCTCCCTACTGTGATCATTATAATGGTTTCTCGGTCTCCTTTGCAAACTATATTTTGAGTCCTTAGTAGGTCTTGGTAAATCGTACAAAATTTGGGAGGTACATCCTTCTTGTCGATTGCAGCCCAGGTGTTTTACTGCTGCGATTACTTGAAAAGTTGGCAAAAGCTTAATATAGCATATGATCATCTTTTCAAATTATTGTTCTTTCCTGTGTGAAACAGGAAGATAACTACGTAAGAGCACGTTCAAGCACAATGGTGTCCGTAATATAAAAAAATACTTCAATTATATACATCAGTGCAGTTTTTCCTTCTTTCTTCAGTGATCAAAAGGTTACAGTGAGTTTCATTCCCTTGGTTTCTGTTGCAGGGATATTTAACACTTCTTAACGTAATAATTTACACTAAACTAGTCTGCAGTTCCTCAGGTACTCATGGAGATGAAGTGGTTGAATACGTTTTCCACTTCACTTACTTGGGAAGTTGGGTCAACCCTGATGCATCAATTGCCGATGGAATCTCTGCATGGTTACGAAAGATTCAATCGACTTTCGCTGACTTAAGAAATTAGTGACACCACCCTCATATCCGACTGCCTGTTAAGAGCCGATTGTTGTGGACTACAGTTTACTCTGTTCTACTATGTGGCTGTGGAAACTGGTCATTAAAGGTGGAGGACATAATAAAGCTTCAGGTTTTCGATCACCGTTGCCTTCGTAGCATAGTCTGTGTGTCTTATGGCCACAATGTCATTAATATAGAAGTCAAACGTAGAGTTATGAGTAAAAGAAATAAGTGGGGTTGTGAACTCACGTCGATTCAGATGGCTGGAACATTTGTTGAGCATGCCTAGTCATCGTTTACACTGTCGCATAATATTAGCTGAAGTAGGCTTAAGCTGGAGAAAGGTTACGGGCAGCTTAAATAGAACATGGCATCAGTTCTTGTTGGTCTGAGCCGTCTAGGAAAATGTACACACAAGTTACAACTAAAACATCTGGTTGGAGACTCTAGATGATGTAGTTCAGAATCTATCTCAGTTGCGCAGACGCACTTACATATCATAAGCATACTGAATTTGACTATTTTCTCACACTCCTTCTTGTTATCTTATCACAACTTTCCACCACTTTCGGTTACTTCCTTACTTATTTCTTTATCTTGGTGCATTTACGTTTGATGTACTGATGATATGGTGTGTGACATCTTGGAAAGTTGTGCAGTAATGCCAGGTCCCATGGTCATACTGACTGCAGCAGTTTCATGCGGAAACGTGTGTTTTGCTGAATGAAAAGGTTTTTCATGCAAAAAAGCTGAATATTTTTTGTATTCCAGTAACCTGGCAACTAAAAAATAGGCCTCTAGGTAGCGTCATAGTGATGTCTGTAAAAAATTGATTACACAACAGTTTTATGCCTTCAGGTTGACGATTCGGATTTCCTGTTGTTTCCTATAATTAACGAACTGAAGAAAACACCCAACGTTGGTCCCAACTATTATTATTCTCTGAGCTACCACAGGCGAGTTGATCTGAAAGCCACTAACTTCGCACCAGCTGACTTAAAGAGAAAACGAAGTTAGGACTGCTAACATACACAATATACAATTATTTGTACGAAGCAAAATATTTTGGAAATTTACAAGACCTTAAGAGCGTAGGAAACATAATCAGAATGTCAAAGAATGGAGAAAAAAGATAGACACATGAAAGATATAATTCCTTGTTTGCGGCTTTAATTCTTTCTGGCTATGAGTACAACAAAAAGTCCCTTGACCGACATCGCAGCACCGAATATAACTAAAGGGAATAGTGATGAATAAGCAGCTAATTTATGTTCATCTCGACTTCGAGGATGACCATATATATATTACAAGGATAAGAAACAGAAGATCAAACATGGTACATTCCGACTAGAACATATTCTGCCAATAAATGGCTTCTATATTTTTGACAATTATAAATCAAAAGGTAGCATTGGTGTTCTCATTTATACATACGTAACCATTTTTATCAGTCAAAGCAATTATGTCGTCTGCTTTAAAACCTTCTTACATTTTTCGGATAGACCACTCACCAGTGTACTGCAATATAATTAAATGATCCAAAGTAGGATATTGCTTCATCATTCAAAATAATCAGTCAGCAAAATCCATCCTCGAATCATCACCTTTCGTAGCTACTATGCGTTTTATTTGAGTTATCTTTAGCTAAAAGAATTCTTGATTTCAGTTAAATGCTTGGAGTTGCATAGGAATGTATAAGCTGATAAAATAGGCTTTTTTAAGATATTCGGGAACGATGTTCTGTAATGTGGCTTATAGTCGATCGGTTAGTCAATAGCAATATGGAACCTGGTATAACTGTGTACTATTTCCAGTCGCCGTATCTCACATCGATGCATCAAGACACTTAGCAGCATGATGAAGGACAGAGAGATAGAAGAAAGTAATGAAAGTCATAGAAATTCATAAGAAGAGATGGTAGAAAAAAAAGATATGATATGTAATAAACAGACTAAAATGGAATTACAATCTGGCACTGTGTACAAGTTTTACTCCTACATTACTATACCTCCATGCCGTTCCCTCCTTATATCTGTCTCACGCCTCAATCAACTCATCTGTTGAATAACCTTAACTATCTGCGTCAGCCCTATTCATTTGACCACTGTTGTACAGAAGACAAGTTATCTAATAATTCAAAGAATAAATGACCCACTTTCTTAACTAGTGACTATTGTCTATTCTTATAAAGATGAGGGTCTATGGTTTATTGATCAAGGCGTAAGACTCTCAACTGGTAGGTCACAGGTTTGAATCCCACTTCACATATCTGTGTTTGGCCGGCTAGGTAATATATTTATCCCGCATATGGCAAGTATATTTCAATACCTAGTATACTAGGCTGCGAATGTTTGTTCATTTACTACTCTTTATAACCGAAGGTAATTTTCACGATGTATTTTTAATTCCTTTTTTTTACTTCTTCAAGGTGCTGATAAAGAGTTATCACTACACTCCATACTGCATAATATTCGACAATGCTCAAATCCTAATCATATCCAATTAAAACGTATCACCTTGAATGCAATGAAACATTTATTGAATCAGTTGGAATGCGAAAGTCGAATATATCAAAGTAATCCGGGTTATTATAAAGTTGCTTAAAAGCTAAAAAACAAAAGAAGCGCAACAAAATATCGTAATTATATAATTGACTTTTTCATTTTACCTATGTATTAAGCATTTACTGGCGTTTTTTTTATAAAACCCTTATTGTAGTTATCAGTCTTATTATATTAACAAGTAAAATGCAATTTTATTTTTTGTTCGACTGTCTCAAAGATTATATTACTAATTTTTGTTTGGGGCATAAAACTGAAGAACTGATGGGAATGTTGAGCAGTCGATAAGGTAACAATTATAGAATTCTATCTGGAGTTTCAGTACTAAGCTTTCAGATAGAGCTTCAGTAATTTAAAACAAAACACTAGTTACACGTGAAACTCTAGAGTCAAAATATAAGACTTGTCTGAAATGACGCCGTACAATGTTGAGAGACCATAATAATGAGTAACAACATTAGTCACCTTAAGTTGTGAGGTTTCCGAATGTATACTCCGCCGTCGAGTAAACAGCATAAGGTTGTTTTAAAACGCAAACCACGGTTGAGGATGAAAGCGACACAAAAGCCAGGAATAAAGACAAACCGTTAAAGTAGCTTTATGACGCAAAGCAAACTGAAGAGGGTAAAATAGTCACCAAATAACAAGGAAAGCTAATACAAAGAAGTGTTATCATGCCATCATAGAGAAACTACAAACCTGTGCGCACAGAACAAAGAAGTTGATTGAACGTAATATTACTACTCACTAATGATAAGTGACTTGGCTATGGCTACCAGTGGAATCTAGGATGCGGGTCTCGTCCTATTTGAGACTCATCAGCTGAGTGTACCTGCCTCCCAGTGAGTGATGTTGCCACTGAAACTCAAACCTTTCACCCATCGATCCAAACACCAAAGCGTTATCCACAAATAATTACAACTACTAACTGTTATACAAGACGAGGCTATCGTGCTTCAGTGACCTAGTGGATAACGTTGTGGTGTTTGCAGCCAGGTTCGAATCTCAGTGGGAACAACAGCACTCGCTGAGGTGCAGGCACATTTACCTGAAGAGGAAGAAATGCGCTTCCTGCATTCCACTGCTAGCCAGTAAATATTCAGGCAATATTGAGGCATCTACATAAGAGCCCATTTACCAACAGAGGTCGAGTAATAGAGGATTACAAGTATCAACAAATAGGAATCAATAATGAAATGTAGCGTAAAACTGAGAGCCACAAGCGCACGGATGTGACCACTGAACAAAAGGAAATAGGATTAAGTAAAAATGTCACAGGTCGTAGACATTTCAGCTGAAACAATCGTAAATGAATGGAATGACTGAGAGGTATGTTTCCTATCTAAAGCCACTGCTTATCTCACCAGATAAGATCCAGACGCTTATACTAGGAGGGGATAAAGAGAAGGTTATGAATCACTGATAGTCAGCTTTATTAATATTAAACCACCGATTTCTTTGTTATCTATGACTTCACTTAGATTTGGAATGTATCAATAAACACTAATCCAATGCAGCTGTTCTTCATTTCACCTGCACTTTCCTGACAACTGCTATACATCCGAGCAACTAATGACAAGCAAACACACCGTCGTAATAGCATTATTGTTCAAGTTACTGAGTCCGATATTTTGAGGTAATTTTGCTTAGCATAGGATGTTTTCTGCCATGAAGTTAAACAAGACCTCAAATAATGAACAGTGGGGCACTGCTCATACAGTGACTCGCAACCGGAAAATGTTCTCTGGACTACAAAATGGAGGTTTGAAAACTGTGATGGATATGAGCAGTTAGTTGTATGCAAAACGTTACCTTGTAAAGAATACGGTGGGCTATGTCAAATATGCTTATCACTGTGCCCAACTTCAACTTACATTAAGTCGATGATGATATATATGACACTTTTGCCTGTCATTCAAGTTCTCTATATAGTTAATCTGGCTGGAATTCAAAGCCTATTTCATATTGTGTATTTGCAAGTCAAACAGAATAATAATTGTAAACCATGAGAGTTATTGACAAGAAATGGTGAGAAATTGACACTGAAATATTGCGAAATAACTGAGTATGCTTTTTACTTGTAGTCTGACTAATCACTCATATGGTGTCACAAAGTATTTTTGTGTTCTATCCTTAAAGCCAAGTCTTCGTACGAATTGCCTCTAGGTTATAGAGAAATCCAAGGCTGAGAAAGATATGAAGAATAACGGTGATCAGCAAAGCTGGTAGATAATGCATATTAAAATAAGCCTGATTTACTTTTGTGTTAATTTTACGGACAGAAAACTAAGAAGCAATCACTGGTTTCGATTACAAACTGTATCTAATAAATTCTGAAGTCATCGAGTTGTATGACCATTTCATATTGCCCCGAGCGAGCTGTCATGTGCCAGCATATGCTAACCCAAACCGAATGTCCTTCAAACACCGTGCCAAGTTATGGGTTAGCTACCTGGGGCTAGGAAACAATGAACGGTCGGGAAGACAAGGGGTCGATGTGTATAACACATCGATCTACAGAAGCCAGTGTTTTAAGATGACGCCGCTTGGTGACTGAGGATTCCCATCATGTTCAGACGCACATCACCAGGCATGATAATGATCTACACAGTGTTCTCATTGCATTCGAAAACTTTTGCCCAGATAACGGTGACCAATTGCAAAAACGTCAATCATCTTCAGCTCTTTCAGGCTAGATCCCGTGGTTTTGAGATCACTATTAACAACAATGCTTAATATCACTGATGATTCAAAACTAATTTTCAAAGATCGGTATACGCTACTGTCATCTAGGAGACCCATACTACCGGCACGGTAACACTATGGCGAAAGGAAGTGTGCTGTTTTTGGGGTCGAAATTTTCGAATTCCCGTTCCTATAAGAGATAACATGGCACTGCTGTTGCACTCCATCCAATCATCAGTACAACTTCGGCCTCAAACCCTATTATAGCCTAGCTACCTACACTAATTTTTACCACTAACCAGTTGACTTTTCTGGTATGATAGGACCTCAAGGAATAAATATCCCCACCAATGTATCTCGTCAGATCTTTGTAGTTTTCAAGCCTGATCACTAGGTCACAGCAGCAGCAATCGGTCAACCGGTTACTGATTATAGTAGAGGTCACTGAAGTAGTATGCCAATGTTATTTTGGATGTACCAGCTGTACTTTTATTGGTAAGGCCATATTAGCGCTTTCTAACCTTATTGACTCCCATGTATAGATTTTGGGATGACTATTTATTGAAGTCATTTCATGAGTTTCAGTTTCATTCCAATATTTACCATGGACCTAGGTTCAGTTATTTATCCACCAATTTCCTCCTTAGATGTTTATTGAATTAAGGTGCAAAGGATAATCGTCATTGGATTATAGAAGGTCAAAATTATGAATATTGTAAGCATCATATTAAGTGTGTATTTTTTTGGCTATTTTTTAGCAACAGTTAGAATAAAGCAGCAAAACTGGCTACGGTAAGTTTAGAAATTCGATAAATAAGATTGTTGTAGATTAAGCAACGCATATCATCAATCCATGAGGTCTATGACTGTTAGTATGTGACATACGCCTACAGATTCGCGTCATGTGATGTTCGGAGTCTGTAGGTGGAATAACTTGGAACAGATGTATCCATACCACATCGTTTACGAAATATTCCCATGAAATAATGAAAAGTTAACGAAAGATAATACAGCGAAGAAAATTCCTTTTTCCAAGAATCATTTTTGAAGGCTGTACAGTGATAATCATAGTTATAACAAAATATATATCAATCAGTAGCTAATTGGTCACTATAAAGTCATCGAAAACGGTCGATTAAGTCACAAGGTGATAACGGCTAGAAGGCCAATTCCAGGTCATCAAAAAGTGTTCGTAAGACTGAAATAAACGAACAAACAGTAAAAAAAGAAATGAATAAAATTTGCTAGGCAGATTAATGCCAAAGCAAAACTAGACATTGAGTGTGTCTCTTTTGAATGTAAAGATCAGGCTTGTATTGCTGGATTGTGTTGAGGTGGCGGATTTGCAGTCCCTTCGAAATGTTTGACTTCACTTTATGACTTTGAGAGAAGATTGTCATGCATCAGCGAAGTGACCAAAGTTAATCAAATCCTCAAGAATTGAGCTGTTGATGGCTTTACACTCTCCTTTAGACAGCCATGCAGGATAGTGTGCAGCTTTTGATGAATAATCCATTGAAGAAAAATTTTCCTGGCTAAATTGTTTTTGTTGATTTTTCGTTTTCGAACCCTTGAACATGCTAGTTATCTAACAACTTTTTTTTCCATACACAAAGACGGTTTTCATTTTTTTCTATCAACATTTGTTATAATCATATTTCGTTTTTACTATTGCCATCCATGTTTTTTTGGTGAAAAGCTGAAGTAATATGTAATGATACCAGGTATCATATATTTTTAATACCTGATTGTTATCACTTATTTTACATACATAATGGCTTTGGTTTCAGTAACTGCTTACATGAACGCATAATCGCTTCTAATAAGACCTTACCCTCTCCTTGTCAAGCGGATTAAAATCATCTCTTCAATAATATCTTATTTGATTTAGTTTTAATACTTAAAACTACTTCGTTATTTTGATTCTGGATGTTTTGTTTGCAGGACAATTTTCCATATATCTAGGACAGGTGCAGAATCATTTCTATTGCATGTATTTGGTGTTAATTCGATAAACAAAGATTCGGTTATCAATCTCTCTCTCCACCTATTTAAGTTGGTCTCCAATACTGTTGCTCTACCCCACCCTATTGTATGTAATTGCGTCCAGAGCTATAACTCTGCTACCTTTGTCATAAATAAGGAGAGGAAATTAGGATTATATGAACTTTGTCTCAAAGTTGTGGAGTTACCTGATATAAATATGGACAGTAAACTGTGTCCGAAACGTTGTCCAGTAAATGATACTCTTTCACTGAGCGAGCTGATATAAGATACTCAGAACCTTGAAGACTGAATACATCTGGATGGTGATGAAGTTTCAGTAACTTCAAATATGTGGCCATAATCATCAATGAACCTACTGTGGTAGAATACTATAAAGTCAGCATTAGCTCTATCTTACAACATTGTCGTACTCGAGGTAACATTGTGCCTATCTCTAAGTGGCTAGAAAAACAATTACATTCAAATAATTCGATAAACATAGGAGGCAGACAGACGTCATCGTCGATGGGTAAACACATTTTAGAAACAGGTCACGCAGTGATCTAACCCAAATGAAGTTCAAACCCCTTTTGTGTATTCAAAAATAATTTGTCCTTACCTTAAACCTACCTCGGTAACCTTTATCTCATTTTAATTTCAAGAGAGGTGTGAAAATGTATTACTCCTCCTCAGTATCCTTATATTTTCCAAATCTTGTATTATCTTACCCACCCCATTTTCGTTCTTCATATGAAATACCTTGACAAGTTAATGTGTGATCATATTGTTCGAAATGTATTGGGCGAATAAATCACATTTCTCAGATAACCTCCGTCTTCTTATTACACTATACAAATTCATCAAAGGGACTGTTTGTTTCAAATACTTCGATATCACTCTTTTCCAATCTACATGTTCTTTTTGTGTTACTGTGAAGTGTGGCAACTTGAACCATTGCACTTGTGTACGAAGTTTCAAGTCGACTTTGTCCGCCTGTTTGATGAACTATTAACTAGTTAACTCTGAGGAAACCTCATTTACGTCGATGCACAATATTACGTTGAGCACGACAATGTTGTAAGATAGAGCTAATGCTGACTTTATAGTATTCTACCAGAGTAGGTTCATTGATGATTATGGCCACATATTTGAAGTTACTGAAACTTCATCACCATTCAGATGTATTCAGTCTTCAAGGTTCTGAATATCTTATATTAGCTCTTATTAGTTGTTCTTTCCTTGGCTATAAGCCAGGTGATTTGTTTTCACATTTTTCTACTTCTATTGATTTATTCTCTATGGTGTTGTAAATTGTGAATACAGTGCAACTCAGCTCAAGACTATTCACCACACATATTTCCCATGCAAAAGTAGGTGGAACTAGGTTTGAATTTGGAAACTAAAGGTAGCAAGTACAGTACATAGGCTAGTGAGTAACACCTCCCCGTTACAAACTATGAAATCGCTGAATATCTCACTTTTGTGAAACGTTTTACTCAGCTTGCCGCTTGTATGCGACTGGTACCTGTAAAGTTGGTGGAATTTTTAAAACTATTATATTCTCTTTAAATACTCTTTTAATCTGTAGTATTCTCTTTTAAGTTAAATGAAAACAGGGACTAAATGTTATGAAAATGATAGCAGTCAATGATCACTGTTTATACATTAATGTGAAATAATGGAATTAGTACGACAAAGGAATAAATTTAAAAACACAACAAAACGTTAAATGCACTAAAACAAAACACATAATGAAGGCAGTAAAACAACAATTAAATACAACACTCAATGCATATGAATTATGCGACTAGATCAACATTAATAAATAAATAACAATAAAGGTAAGCTGTTTTAAGTAGTATAAGTAAGATTCAGGGAGAGAGAAAACTAATTTAATTTGAAGTATGATATCAATCGTATATACTGAAATCATAAGTATGATACCGAATCACCCTCCTTATTAGATACATTCTAATCCTTGGTAGTACTATGATCAACATCGCCGTCTTTGTTTTCAGCAATCAATGGGTTCAACAATCTTTCAGGCTGTTTAATAATGATGGATTGTTCAATCATTTGTTGTCTGCCTAATAATGTTTCATCACACTTTTTATTGTTGTCTTTGATCATCAATCCATCTCCTTCACCAGGAGTAGTGCTGGTTGTCTTTGTTCTTGTTGTGCGCGTAATCATGTCACCAGTGGTAGGACAACATTTTGGCGGTGTGGTTAAAGCTTGACGATAATGTGCACCAACTAGTATACAAACCATTGGTTTACAAGCTGCAAACATTGTATCCAATAATTGATTAATCATTCTGAACACCTCTGGATCATAAGTGATGTAATTTTCAGTGGAGATAACATGTAGAAGAAATTTAGGGACTTTACAAATCAATAAGATCAAACCAATACAAACTGCTGTTATAACATTAGCGTTCTCACGTGTTTCATCTACCTGAGGCAGTTGAAAGAATAAATAGGCTAATTCTTGTTCAATTGGGTCTAAATTGGTTAGATTATTTGGTGATTTACGACTATTATCATAGGGACTGTGTTGTTTTGTAGTCATTGTCTTTTCAGATTCATCCAGGCGCTTATTGTTATGAGTAATTAATTCATCATTATTATCAGATATTGATGACCATGTTTTGGATACATTATCTGATTTTACACCTTCACGACATTCATTACCACAGACACCAGAACGACAGACACAAGCACAGGCAGTATCATTGCATAGACTTGCTACAGCTTTCCATTTTGATGTATGCAAATTGACCATACGTAAAACGATAATTGTGATTAATAATCCACAAGCCAAATAGGGTAGAAACATTTCAAGTGGCACTTTTAACCAATTATCCATTATATCTCTTTGAATGCAATAAATAAATAAAAATGCAATGTGAAATGTGTTTGCATAATAATGATAACGAAAGAATAACATAATGAACATCTCGTACAAGAGTTAACTAACTCATACTACACAATTTAATGAATCCCTCAATTAATAAGGATTGAGAGTTGGCACTCCTGAGTTCGATCTATGGATGGATCGCGAATGTGAGCTGCTGGGGATTCCTAACCCAGGAAAAGCAGCTGTCCAGTAATTTCAGATCTTGTTTGACTCTTTCTAGTTGGTGTCAATCCGTGATGAAAACTACTCAATGAATTGAACAGGGAAAAAACTACCGCTGCGATGATTGTGTGCCAATGGTAGATGTGTATGCATAAAATTCTTTCTACAGTAGCTATAACTTCAGTTATTCACTTCTATCTACCAACCTACCTCGACGTGCCATTCTAGAGCAAGTTGAATTAGATTGGAAGAGGGTTCACGGTGGCCAGATCAAGATGTGGTACTAGTCAATAAAATCCGTAACTGTTGGTATGAGTCGTGTAGGGAGATGCAAACAAGAATTCACAAGATGTAATGAACTTATATTATTTAACTTCAGTAGGTATCGAGTCAATGGTAAATTTGTTCAGTTTAACCGATAGAAATTAAAGAGATATTGTGGACTGTAATCATCGTCCTGTTTTTTTTAAATGAAGTAAATTTGACTACGCTATTCAAAAGTTAAACATATTCCTGTAAAATCTGAAGTTAGGTAAAGGATATGGAAAACATATTTTAAACACAATACATAATACATTAATAAGACTGAAATTATTTCTTTCGTCACTGCTTATAATGGTTTTTTTTCAGTTGTCAGGCGCCAACCAAATAAGCGATTTCTTTACGAAGTGTGTGCTGATGGTTATTCTGTAAAATTGGGTGAAGTGATCGAGTGAAATAAGATGTATATCATAACGATACTGGACACAGTGATACACTAGAACCGAATGCTAATATGACTTTTCTTTCTTAGGACCTTATTCTTCATTGAGTCACACAAATATCGAAAGATAAAAGCTGACCTGTGACTGAAAGGATGATTATATTTGATAAACTACAGCATATATATACAATTCCCACACACATAAAAATGTCCCAGGCCAAAGATAGAATAACACGATCTTATTGGCTATATTACACACGCAATCGTTTAATAAGGTTATTTTGTTCATATAAATCAAAATCTGAAACAGCACTTCCACCTCAACGGTCAGTGACTTAAAATGTTGATTTCCATTTTTGACCGCTTTCTGTCATTGGGTACCGGAGTTATGTGGTATCCATGGGTAACTGGCAATCTGTCTAGCTAAACAGGAACATTTAATGACAATCAACTATTTACTCCCTTGATTTTACATATCTTTAATCAACGGATAAAACTACAGCATAAGCCATTCAACTAAGATGGAAGCTTTCAAGATTTATTCAGCGTCAGCACCTCAAAGCTGAAATAACCATGGCAAACTTTAGTTAGTTGGGGGCAATCGGCAGGAGGCCCTCGACCAAGGTTTCGTGCTTGTTGGCACTCGTCGGCACATTTATTAATGTGCACCACGATGTTGAGCTTCCTAGCTTGGTGGCCACATTGCAAATATGATCGATAAGATTCGGTCTGCACTCAGGACTAGATAATGTGAAATTGGTTGTTCTCCGGTGACCAATCAGTACATGTTGCGGACTTTCTCAATAATACTATCTGTAGAAGAAATTAGCAATAAGCTAAATTTAGCTTATATACCTCTTTCTATGATGTTTCTCTAGCATAGCTTCTCTGTAATTGAAAGACCTAACCCTTATCACGTTGTTGCTTGTATTGCTTGACGGGATAATGCAAGCAACAACTTATACTGGGTGATGATTGAGGGTGAAATGAAAATTTGGACCGCAGCCGGATTTGAACCAGCGACCAATATTAAAACTATACCCGTCGCCCAAGAAGCGGCTATCGCGACTCAGTGATCTAGTGGATAACGATGTGGCGTTTGAAGCCATCCGTCCCAAGTTCGAGTCCTAGTGGGGGCAACACATCGTTCACTGGGAGGCACGTACATCCAGCTGACGAGCCACAAATAGGACAAAACGCGCGTCCTAGATTCCACTACTAACCGCTATCCATCATTTATTTATATACTGACCCTTACTAACCAAAAGTTTATATCCCTTTAAAAGCGTAAGAAGACTGATTTTACTGTTAATATCTAATAAACAATTTTTCAAAAGTAATAAGCAAGAATACTCAATAAAATATATAGAACCTGATAACACTTGAATCATTCCACATTTTTACCAAACTCCACACCAAATCACCGACTGAGAAGCTGACCAAAGAGAATATAATGTTATAAGTATTCATAAGAAGCAAAAAGATACGATGATAAGAAGAATAAAGATGTATAACAGATATAACATGCAACTGCATCACTGCCATCAATTCTCAGTGATGCCACGCAGACAACCCACGAGATGTCTGTAGTTTTCTGGATAGCAACCACGAGGCCTAGAAAGTTCAGATGAAAGATGAGTGACTTAATAGATTGATACCATAACTTGGTCTAACTACATGACTGTTTGAAGGTATTTTAGCTTACATCGCATATCGAAATGCTTTGTGTCTTGGGATGCATAATAACTCAGTTAGTGGAACCATATAACCCTTTCCGCCTACAACTATAATGAAATAGATGACTAACATCTTCAAATAGAATGTACCAGCTCTTGTATAATAACAGAATGTGCATAGAAGTTAGAAAAAAAGTTGGAATTCATTCAGCAACCTGGCAAACTTTCGTATAGAAGGCAATGAGCCACGTCTATTGGATGAGGGCTAATAATATCACCTGGTCACCTAGATCATGGTAGGTGGGGTTGAGTTCAAACCCATAATCTATCGGCTGGAAGTCGAGTGCTTAGATTAATGTGTCACAGCTCTATTAATCTGTATAAGGTGAATGAGTAATGATAGGTAAATTGTATTTGATGTTACAATAAAATGACTAGATAAGTTCAAAAAGAAAGATTTCTTCAGAAACACAAAATACTAATTTGTTAAATTAAACTCCACATACTACTGAAAATACACTGAAGTAGATATTACTCAAATTCTTACCGAAACATCTCCATTTTACCGAGTTTCGTAAACAAAACACGTACCACTTTCTTCTCTGAGTATTCCACATATGTATATTCAAAAAATTTGCATCCCATGTAAGTAATGCATAGGAGGAATATTGCTGTTATAATTTTTACTGATTCGAATTGTGAGCATAAAGCTTTAGAATGTGGTCCCAAATTTAAATAAAGCAAACGATTGACTAGTAATGCTATGGTTAACCACACCTGAAATGATAAAATTATGGGCAGAAATGAAGGTAAGAACTAATAAAGTAGGTTGAATATCAGCTGACTTATTAGAAGTGAATGTAATGAAACAGATGATAGTTTTGGTACGAAAGCTCAGAGAACACCGAACCACCATCATCTTCATCCTGAGCCATCATTCCAAGATGATAGCATATTTCACAAGAAACCTATAAATTACATATTTCTATTCTGCAAAGTAATGAATCACACCTAATAATTGTTTCACAGATTCGACCATACACATCAAAACATTGATACGAGAGCATGAAATCTAGTGTATATTTCTGGATCGAAATATCAAAAGGCAACTAATAGAAGAATTTATCGTCGGCCTGTCTAAACCTTCAACTACCAAAAGCTTTCCACTAAATATATTTAATCGAATTCTTCCCTTTCAGTTTGTTTTAATCATTAAAATATATCTTCTAAAAGTACCATGTAATCTGGTACATTTTAAGAGTGTTTTCAAACTGTCGTTTATCAAGCTAAGAACGAGACAAAGCAAAAACATTACGTTGCATGGAAATGGACTTATAAATGTTCAAAAATACAGCTATTAATATTCATAAGATACTCATATCAATTTGTAGATTTTTGTACTGGCCGACTGAAATGCCACCATCAGATTGGTCTTGGTGACTAGGAGAGGAATCCAGGACGCGCGTTTCGTCCTATCTTGGACTCGCCAGTCGGATGTGTCTGCAGCCCAGTTCCTACAGAGGCTCAAACACAGTACACTTCGCTTAAAACGCCAGAGCGTTAACCACTAAGCCAGTGGGGCACGATAGCCACCATTCGTGCAACGGGTGTCAGTTGTTGTAATGATACTTGCTATTTGCTGTTGCTATGCAGGAACCGAACTGCTCGTCCCTTGTTGGCAGATGGGCTCCTATGCGGATGCCTCAATACTGCTGGATATTCATGATGTTATATTGGTATTGGTGACTAGCACCACTACCATCATCAAAATTACACTCTAATTTGAGTTCATTAGACCAGAAGCTAGTGTAACACCAATTCCCCGTTTCACTTTAATACTGTTATCATTATCACTATTCAGAAGCAATAATTATTTCTTTTGAAATTATTATACAGAGAGCTGAGAATTTCATACTGTATCATAGATGTTGTTTGGAATAAAGTGATAATTATTGTGATTAACTGGGTGGTTGCTTAACTAAAACAACAATTATGCAGTGAATTACAAATGTAGATTGGTCAAAACACTGTTGAACATTTACATAATGCAATGAGAAGGTAGACTTCGATTTGAAAAAGCCTAATGTATTTGCATAATACATTTCAATAATTAACTTGTCTTAGCATTTTATATCAGGAGTTGAAAATGAAATAAGGTTGAAAAGAAATAAATTAAAGTAATGAATGTGAAGATAACAGGATGATAACAGAAGAACACGAGTTTTTCACGCTAACCTTTTTTAGCATCAAACGGAAATACCAATTATCAAATGGTATCCGACGAAAAAAATATACGAAGTATATAAGGCTACAACACTTATTTCCTGCAATCAATTTATTAACTTGTTACATGAAGCAACCTACATTTCTTCTGTTCTACGCTGACTATCCAGGCAGTAGTATCGGGGCAATTGCGTGGGAGCTCATCTACCAACAGAGGTCGAACAATTCGATCTACTATAGTGACGGGAAATTACAAGTATCAATAAAAGAGTTTACTACAAGTTTGTTCATTTAATTTTTTTGTTCTGCTAAACAATATGTATGTGTAACTTGTTGAATTAAGTTATTCATGAAAACTACCAAAAGTAATAACACTAAAATGTTCAGTGAAACCCGGAATGCAGATAAAGATGGGAAGACAAAATCAACGTAGAACCTCACACACAAGTGGATCTGTTCAAGATGTAACATTTCACAGATGCAGACAAAAAACTAGTGGACAGAAAAATAGTAGTGTTAGGGTGATCAGAAGTGTATGGGAGGAGAAAAAATTTGAAGATAAAGGTTCGTGAAAAAGTTTAGGCTTTAGAAGACGTCAAAGAGTAAATACATCTGGGCCATTGTGACCGATCTCCAGTCATGTTATCCACAGTCTTCAACCACTGATTCCTGTCGTCTACAGAGCTCCAATCAAGCAGTCTACACCTCCCTATACGACTCAGATCAACAGCCAGAGACTTCAAAGACTGATGCAAAGTCTAGCCAACGTGAGCTTTTTTCCAACCTAAACCTACTTCAGCTATGAAAAGTGAACTGTAATGAGAATCAACTCATTCGTTTAAGCATTAGACCTCTAACCAATAATATAACCAGTCTGAACATCACTCTGTTTCGAATCGAATCGAGTCTCACCTATTGGGTGATGGCTTATAATGTTATCTGGCTGCTAAAATCTCCCTAGGTGGAGCACAGTTCAGAGCCATGATTCACTGGTGTAAAGTTAAGTGCCTAGAACAATGAGCAACAGCTCCACTGATGTTTAGCTAACGAGATAAAATTAATTAAAACTTGCAAAATAAATGCAGCTTATTATCAATGATGAAAAGCCGAATACAGTATCTGAGTCACATTCAACACTTATTCATTTACTAGGACATCAACTTCCTTCAAATTAATCTTAACAACTATTACCTAATGTAAGCTTGAAATTATTTTCCATAATTTAGAAGAAACACTATGAAATTCTTGCACAACTCTACTGAATCACGAATTTTTTGAGAAACTACTAAGAAATACAATTATTAAATATTTCTCTGGCAAACAAGAAACATGAATATGACGCAAATTGAGAATGTTTGGGATGCGATTTTCACCACCCAAATGCAAATTTTTGCTCCAGGACTGGTCTTCAGCGGTACCGCGGTTAACAATAGAGAGTGAAGTGGTTGAGTGTGTTGATCACTTCACTTACCTGGGAAGTAGGATCAACTCTGGTGGGTTAGTTGCCGATGAGATTTCTGCACGGATAAAAAAGGCTCGATTGGCTTTTGCCAATTTGCGCCACCTATGGCGCCGCCGTGATATTCGTTTGTCTATTAAGGGTCGCGTGTACTGCACAGCAGTCCGCTCTGTTCTACTATATGGCTGTGAAACATGGCCATTGAAAGTGGAGGATACAAAAAGGCTTCAGGTGTTTGACCACCGTTGCCTTCGTAATATAGGACGTATTTCGTGGTGCCACCACATGAGTAATGCAGAACTCAGGTGTAGAGTTTTGGGGAGAAGAGGTAAGTCAGTCGACGAGGTTGTGAACCTTCATCGACTGAGATGGTTGGGACACGTACTACGTATGCCTAGTCACCGATTGCCTCGTCACACAATGTTGGCTGAGGTGGGTCCAGGCTGGAAAAAGGCCCGAGGTGGCCAGACTAAAACATGGCACCAATGTATGAAGTCTCTGACTGTTGGTTTAAGCCATGTAGGACGATGCAGACTAGGTGGTTGGGGTCCATGGGACAAGAGGAACCAGTGGTTGGAGACCCTAGGTGATATGGCTCAGAACCGAAGTCAGTGGCGCAGATGTATACACACATTATCTCCATCTTAACAACGCTATACCGAATCTCACTATTTTTTCACTCCTCTTTCCTTTCTTCTCGTACTTTATATTTCTTTTGACTGCATTCACTTATCTTCATCCTTCACCTCACTACCTTTTTACTTGATGTGCTGATATGAGGTGTGGCAACTCGGACCGTTACGCAGTAATGCCTGGTCCTATGTTGATAATGATGATGATGATTATGCAAACTGAACTATTTTGTAAAATAAAAAACAATAGTTTATAAAATTTCACATAAATATAAGTATATAGTCTCTAAAAAAATCGTCATTAATCAAAAAAATATAAATTGCTTCAATTGTTTACATGAAACTACATGACACTTGAAGTAGCGCGAATTTTAGTTATAGTGAAATAATATTTTAGACCAGATAAAATGTAGAAACTAGAGACATGAACGCGACAGTCATTGAAGTTGAAAGACCGATGTATAATCAAAGTTACGCTGAAAGCCGTTCTAGACTGATAAGTTGTAGCTTAATGGTTTAAAACTTTAGCTCAACCATTAAACTATGAGTCTGAAACGATCTAGACTTAGCTTTAGAAATCTGTGAACAACTACCAATTGGATAGTCGAAACTCATATGGTGAAGGCGGATTTGAACCTCCAACTTACCGGTTGGAAATCGAGTGTCTACAACAAAAAGTCACAGTTGTCAATGAGATTATATGCAACCAGAATTAGAAAGTGGACAGAAATCGCCAAGTCGCATCCGACCTGCTTTAACAGCTAAAAACTGTGTGATACATATTTAGACGATGGAGTAGGTATGTTATGCAAATGATGGTAAAGGTTATGAACAACAATCTTGCTTGTAGTTGGTAATATCACACAAACAGGTGACAAGATAAACTGTAAAACTGTTTCCAAAATCATGCATATACATAGTAACAGGGACATCCTTAGGTATTTTCGCACTTATTGTCCAGTATAATAAATTAAGTCTCCTGAAGATTATGAATGCAGAAACAACCTATTCTTACAGAAAACTAGCACAGGAGTAAATTTTAGCCTGCAGTTACTCGTCATTATTTGAACTGAATTGAATGGTCACTTTTGGCATATGGGATCTTAAGCACACGTCTCGATATTGCCGGTAATTGCAGTTTGATAATGTATTGAATAGCAACGGAATCCAGGAAGCATGTTTTATCCCGTTTGGAACTTATCTAGATGGGGCTGCCTGCTTCCTAATGAGTTAACTTGCCTCCAGTGAAACTCGAAGCTAACATCCAACAGCTCTAGATATCAAAGCGTTATGCACGAGGTTTTTAGATCACAATAATCCTTTATTGTCTGGAGCTTCCACACAGTAGCCCATGTGCCAATATCGGTCGGTCAACTTCGTCTAATCAATAATGAGAAGCTACAGTTTATACAACCAAATTATATCTGCCGCACGAAGTGCAACTAACATTACTCAGCAGCTTAGTGGATAACATACCAGCGTTTGAAGTGATGGGGTCTCAGTTCGACTCTCAGTGCGGATAGCACCATCCACTAGCAGACAGTTTCATTCAGCTAACCAATCCTCAAGAGGATGAAACGCCGGTCCTGGATTCCACTACTAGGCGATATCCCTTAGTAATATCATAAGACCACTTATTCTAATGATATGTCTTGCTTCCTTTTCTCGTATCTCAATCATTCGCTGTTTCATCTTCATTGATTTATTTAACCATGATCTATTTTAATTATTATTAATTCTCGCATAAATGACCTTGACAAGTAAATAAATTTTCCATTCGGCTGTTGGAAATATACTGCACTATTACATTTTATTTTTTCACAGATAACCTTCACCTTCTTTCTTATAAGGCTATCAAAAAATTTAAAAAGCAGATAACTAGCTGTGAATTTCAGTGTGTAGTAACAACTTCCGATAACTAAATACATTTCATCAGAAAGCAGAATTTTAATGCTTACTCCTTTGTTTGTCTTTCCCTCTCTAGACAGTTCATATGATATAACCAAGTATCAAACAATACGTTAAGTGCGCTCAGCAACCTTGCGTATGTTTGTGTATTAGGCAATGAGTCACACCAATTGTATGAGGGCTGATGATACCACCTGGCTACCCACACCTTGGTAGGGTGGAGCGGGGCTCGAACCCGTGACCCACTGGTTGATGGTCATCTCTGTAAACCAACGAGCCACAATTCCACAAACAGCGTGTTTGTGTCGGTCATATGTGTTGAAGAACCATAAAACTGCCACACACTTGATTGCGCACTTGATCATTAGAATACTGCGGCTTACTACTTCTCACCGATTCAGCTAACCCTATATCTTCAACACCGGTATGTCGTTTAACTTTGATGCCAGTAAAATCTTCAGGATTTGCACTCTAATTTTTAAGGCAACAGATGAGGAAGCAGAAGACAAGTAAATCGTAGTAGAACTCTGCATAGAAATCCATCACTTCAAGTCGCTACACTTTGCGATACTCAACAAGGAGGGGATGGAGAAAAAGGAATGCTACTGAAGTAAACAAAACTGTATTAAAGGTGCGGGATCAATAAGCAACGGTCGGTAAAATGTCTAGACCAAATTAGTCCCTTTATAGAATGAGACTATATCATAGTCTGTCCGAATTAAGACTTTTTCTAATAAAGTCCTACATCAGTAAACACTTCATGTCGAAATAAGAGATGACAAGCACATTACGTGTCTACACCACCTGAGTCTCTGCAGGTTCACAACCTCACTTACCTTCAGTAATCTACATCTGACCTCAATGATGATTGTTAACAAGGTCAAAGAACATCGGGAAATCCATTATCTGAGGTCACATCGTTTTCTACAACTGATGGTTAGTGACATGCTGCTGAGCATCTGTTTAGGGATATTTCTCAAAATTAAAGAGAAATATTAGCTAAAACTACACAATGGAAATAATTAAGCTCAATAATTCAATACATAATCGTACAACGGAATACTTAAGGGCTTATGACACTAACTGACTAGCTGAAAAATATTAGTGTACGTGAACTTAAACGCGTGGTTCAAGAGCTTAGACAGTATAACTCTATGAAATATTTGCAGAAAATTGGACATGACAGCTGTCACCGATAATATTCCCTATAAATGTCTACGACTCAGCAAAACCAAGTAACTGACATGTCTTCTGAAAATATAACCTGTTACCGCACTTGTCAAAGACTCTGTTTCAGATTCATTTAATAAGATAAAAATGTTATGAAGCCTAATATGCAGGGGCTTAAATAAACAACCGATTCCAGCGGTAAATAAAGTACTCACGTATCGTATACTTTAATTTCAAACTTGGCATGATATAGACAAGTCTTGAGGTATTATGGGAACAGAAAATCTTTCCAGATACTATCACATAGTTATCGAGGGTGTTCAAAGTCTCTATGTAAGGGGATTCAATCATTCGCCTTTGAATTAATCATTCAGAACAACAAAACAGAAGTATGAAAAACGATCATTTAAACTTACTACTAACAGTTCACATATCTGTAAGATTGGTAAACCGAATGGGATTAAATATCCAGAAAATTGTCCATACATTTCCATTTGTTGAATAAATGATGATGGCATATAATGAACAACAAATAATAACAAAGTGAATATCATATAAATACAATCAAATAACACCATTGCACTCAAGTAGACAGTGGCACCAGAACGATTCAATCCAAAGTTATACGCTGGCAAGAGAATTAAATTACTGATAATTCCACACAGGCATAGAGTGAAACAGACAACTCCCAGAATACAATGATTAGCATAACTATTGTATTGTTTATCACAGATATAATCATCATAACATCCTGTTATATTGTTTCCAATCTCTTGCATATAATTGTAAGTTGAAATTGATGAAATATTTAGCATAGACTCATTTGTTGATAGATTAGTATTAAAACTCCTTGGCACTACTTCGTCAATTAGCTCCACCTGCCTGTTCATAGTATAAAAAAGAAGACAAAAGATGAAAAACTAAAAACACAGTTTTTAACAGTAACATATACCTATTTATGAGCTTACAGTTAGACGGAGACACATCAGCAGATATACTGAGAAACTGTCTGGCGTGATCATTGAGGAAAACTTTCTATGCTATCAAACTTAGATTAAATTTCCCAACTTACCTAATGCTTTGATCATGCGTAAAGGATAAGCTAGGCCCCTTGGCCACCTCAATGTGTTTATCAGTACATCTGTTCCTGCAGAGTAAGATATATTGGCCGTACTCAAAATTCGCTTTCCAAACGTATTTCCGAACATATACTAGCCTGATACACTAAAGGCGAAAGGAGAGTATCTCGTAGGTTTATTTTAGGGCATTTGATCGATCATGGATCATCCGGTAAATGCAGAAAACAAGTTGCGTCATCGACAGAGTTCGTGCAACCCTCTTAAAAGGTATACACCTTAAGCTTCTTCAGGCTGTGGAAGCCATGAGAATTAATATTTTGAAACCTGAACTCCGCATTCAAAAGAAGTTTTTCTAGTCAGTTGAGTTGCAATGGACATGACCTATAATAACACTTTACCCTCAAAATCTTTTCTTTCATCTCCTTTCACACATTACACTCTTCCATCCTTTATAATTCTGAGTTCTCATTACACTCACTAGTCCCATTAACCATAATACACCATTTAACTTAGTAACCAAATAACGCTTCGGTCTTGATAAGTCTTCTTCTTACTACTACTTTAAACATTACGCAATTCTTTTTCAATCACCTGATTTATAATCAAAACTGAATTTCGTTCAAAAAAATATTTTATGAAACATTCCCTTTCTGTGAATCGAATATTTATATGCGATTGTACAGCTGGAGAATGATATCGTTAAAAAGAGTGACTCTTCGCTAAACATATTTCGTTTATATAATTTATTAATTACTACTAAAAATGTCGTCGATTTAAATTAGACGATGAATTAGTTAACCTTGCTTTTACTCTTCAGTTAAACATTGTAGAATAAAAGTAGTAACCAATGAAATTAGAATACAAATGTTTCACCAGTATGTATCTCAGATATTATCGCTTAACCTTTTAAACCATCAGTTTATCTTGCTGAGATCTTAAGCCCAGTGTAATGAACTATCCCATCATATTTGGTGATTCATACCAGTCAGTTTGTAATTCCTAAAGCAATTAAAACCAACGTCAATGATTTCAACTACTCCAACAACTTCGTGGTGTGATAACTATAAGAAGTCTTTCAGTATACTCAGAATCCCATATCTAAGGTGAATCGAGTTAAACCAGACATGGATATAACTGAAGAGCCAACCATACTGACTAGCTTTGGTTCACAAAGGTGTTAGCTCATCTATCGACCTTATTTAAAACTTTGTCCATAACATGAAAATTTTTTATTCACTTATTTCTGTACACTCAAAAGATAAGTTAAAATACATATAATTTTCTATTTGTTTAGTCAAATAGTTTTCGATAAGTGATTCAGAAAATTAGAAATCATTCTATCAACCAGTGAGTGAGTGGATTTCAGAATAATTGTTGAGTTTTATTCATCTAATGTTCCAGCTGTATACTAGATGGAAATCAGATTTATGCCCAATCATATATGTGAGAAAACAGTAGGTGGTAAACAACTATACCACTTTTTTAGATAACTTCAATTTTGCAAATATTTCTGACAAATCGCCTTCTATGAATACATCTATGGCGCAAAAAAACGTACTAAAAACCCTATTTCTATATACAAATGTGTTTTCTACGAGCTTCTCTGTGATTATGTAGACAATAAGTCAATATTTTAGGGAGTTTTTTAAAGTTTTGAACCTCTAATTACTCAAAAATTATTCCTCACTTAACCCATACTCCCTTTTTGCTTATCGTGATATTTTTCCACCCTTGATAATTTTCTTTTGATACCCTATTGTCAAGTATGCCGTATAAAACCAATGTAGATTTGTTGATTGCTTTTTTGCTTCTGTCATATGATAAATACCGGAAGAGCTTTCCTTATTCAGCAGAAGATTGGAAAATAGTAAATTAGTAGCCTATAAGTCATAAACTAAGTGTCAATGCAATATTTAGAAGTTCGTCATTACGTAAGGTGAACGTTAAGATCCAACGAAGCAAGAATCAAAAATATTGTTATTAGCAGTGTTTTGGATCTAAGAAGTATATTTACATACTGACTAGCTGAAAACGTATTTCAAGATAGTTTTCAACAAGTACCAGTCACTAAACCTTTGAATTGAAACAACAATTCGCTCACCACTAGTAACTCGTTTCAAAAAAATATCCCCCAAGCATTTTACTAAGAGAAAATTGAGCCACAAGACCAACTACATCAGTCAGTCAGCCAATACCATCATCGGAACCGGAAAGATTGTGTATCAATACCACACCATACCTCATACGAATCAGTGAACTAGGATACAGAGGAATGAGAGAGAAGATAATGAAATGGAAATACAACAATGAAAAATAATAGGAGCGAAAGAGGATCTGGGGAAAGTTACGAAATGCGATATAACGGCATAGATGCACCTACACCATTGTGATTCGTCCCAAGGCATACCATCAAGGGCCTTCAATAATCGATTTAAGCTGCATCGTCGCATGCAACCCTACACAGCTCAGACCGACAGTGAGAGTGTTAGCAGATAGGGAATTCATAAACAGGTGAGAAGTTTTAGAAGGGCTACCATAAGACTTCATCCTACCCAGTCCAATCACAGTTAACATTGGATGCCGAAATCAGTGGTAGCTTGACATGTGCAACACATGTCTAAGCTATCTCAGTCCGTAAAGGTTCCTAATCCCAACGGCTAACTTTCCTTCCTGACCTAGCACTATCCCATAAACCTCAATTCCGCTCATATAGTGATTCCAGAATATGTAAGCGATGCTGAGAAGACACTTCTGGTCAAAACCTGTAACCGCTTCATATCTGCTTTTTTAACGGCCATGTCTCACAGCTGTATGACAGGATAGAAGGGACTGTGGCGCAGACGTTTATTCAGTAGCTGGATATCTCACCGACGCCACAGATGACATAAAATCATCAATATTAAACGAGTCTTCTGTATCCCAGCTGAGATTTAGTCAGCAGTCACTCAAGTCACTTTTATGAAACTCTCTAAGTAAGTGAAGTAGTCAACCCATTCAACTGCTTCACTCCTCATCCTTGAACTAAAAGTAGTTGCCAACCAGTTCTGCAACATTATCTCACATCTGACAGGTGCGAAATGCATGCCAAACATATTCAGATTCCTGCTCAAAGCATTCAAGACACCCTGCAATGGGCTTACCGTTAGTCCCAATCTTTTCAGACTTCTTTCTGTCCAAACTAGAGAATGTACCATTGAAGGATAACATTAGCAAGCTAGATATGTATTGTAGATACCTAAGCAATACGTTTATTATCATGGATCAGAATATGAATTAGAAAGAACTATTGAGAGAGTTTAACAACATACACCCTTCACTTCTGAAGAAGAATAGGGCAATAAGCTAAATTTACTTGGTGTTGTATTAAGTAGACGAGGAGATGTACCACTGTGCAGAAAGGTGCCCAGAAGTAAATCTGCATTTCAATACATACAATTCTTTATTTCCACACCTATACAATACAAAAGACATTTAGGCAATTGTTTGACAGTCAGAGTGATGAAAATTTGCTCAAATGATACTTTACAGAGTGAATAAGAGTCCATTTACAGTTCACTAATTTAAATAGGTTATTCTCAGTTTTATAAAAAAGCATATGAATAGATCAGGGAGTAGACTTGAAGCACTAACTGCTCGAAAGAAACCATCAAATAGCAATGAAGCATCATGATATTTCTTCGCTAATATCAATGCATATAGACAACTGTAGACATGAATTTGACTGGAATGACGTGAAAATCCTGGATAGTGGGCATACAAAAAATGCCAGAGAATTTTTAGAAACATAAGTGTTCAGGTCGTCGGCGATTAAGAAGTATATTGACATTGACCCGACCAATCAACCAATAAGAAACAACAAGAAGGTCAAAGTTCATGTCAGCAGGACAACCAGTCGAAATAAGTATGGAGAAAATGTCAAGATTTTGGTGGAAACCACCAGTCACACATAAGGCCATCAAGACAAGTTACTAAGCCACTTGTAAATAAAATCTCATAGCTCACTTCTCCTTAAAGATTGTACTGATGATGTCTGGAATAACAATAAAAGCTTCACGATTAAACTATCCAGTTCAGAGAACAAAACATCATCAAAATCATCCTCCTGAGCTACAGATATTCTCCATCACACTCAAATGTTTCGCTGGCACTTAGGGCAGTGTGAACTGCCAAAAGTCGAGTAAGCCTTCTAGATGTATGCCCAGATTTTATTGACCATCAACCTTTCACGGCTAATCAGACTTCACAAGTAGATGAAGTGTTAAACGAGTTCAACTACTTCACTCTCTACTGTAGGATACGGCGAAAATATAGAAACATTCCCGAAGCGAGGAATGCACTTGAGTGGAGAGAAACACATACCAGACATTCTGCATTTTAACAGTGACTAAATCTAACGAAACCATCACTTATAATCTAGATCGACTAGAGAGTTTTCTGTAACAAGGTAAATCGCTGAATAGCCTATTTGATATGGCACTCAGCAATGTACCATTATTCACTAGGTGATATTTCGAGTAAATTTATTGCTTACAATCATATCGAGGTGATCGTACGACTCTCTGTTTTAGCTTTTCATAGTCCCACTGTTTTTCCTTCTTTGGTTTGATTAGTGTCGAAATTTCTCACATCCAGGGACGGTGTTGCTTCGTTTCGATCACGTGTTAGGTGCTGAACTGACGAACAGAAATTCAGTGACAAACCTCTCTCTGCACTTAACTGCATTTGCCTTTAAAACTGTAACTGCCCATTCTATCGTATTACCGCATCCATAGATATAGCTGAATTCTCCTCTAGATTTATTAT